GGTGAGCAGTCTAGGTTTATTTCATATCAAGGGAATAAAATACGCCGCACCATTATTCCTATTTAATTAAATATACACCTGGAGTGAATGATAAATGCTTACTGTAGGCCCTGTCGATTATTACAGCGTGTTGCATGGTTTCTTTCACCACTACATCACTGGCAGTTTATGGCAAAATAGATTTCATCATTATGCAACTGTGTGATTGAGCTTTACTAGCAATTATGCTTGCTGAAATAATTAATGCCCCAATTACAGAGTTCCCTTCGAGCTGATTGCAGCGAGAGCAAGAAATAACCAATCCTAGTTTTGACTAATTTAGAAATACAATTCAGAGCATAATGACACACCACTGTAACCCGACACAGAGAAACAGGTGTCAATGCCAACACAAGGTAGGTAGCAATGCCTCTTTGTGTGTCACATTGGGGTTATTATGTGACTCCACAGCTTTTTGTGTGACTACAATAACATGAGACTGACCTCTGTTCATGTTCACATGTTTTAAAATGTGCCTTCCTTATACAAAACATCCCTCTACCAAAATAACTCTGAAACTAACTTCGTATTTGCAGGTATTCACTATTTAAAGAAAATACTTGATGATTTCAAACATGATGGATGATAAGAGTTTAAAAAAAACAACCTAATAAGATAATCAGATTACAGTAAAGACAGGTGCTTAAAGGTCAGAGAAAGTTGATTATAGCCATAAATGACTGAATCAAATCCATGGCTTGGTGTATATTGACGATGTGATTCATGTTGGGTTTAGATAGAGTGTCTATATGAGGATGAAAGGTGATTTGTATTTAAACACACATTTTGAACTGTCCTTGCCTCAGTTATCAGTTATTGTTTATTATTTTTGCTACAATTACAAACGTTTATTTAGATATTTCCATTTCACACTTTAGGCTCAAACTCTGATAGTATTAAACTATGAGTCAATCTTAAGACGTCTTAAAAAGAGCATTGAAAAATAACATTGCACTCTTAAGTTTACGTGTTAACAGGGCCACATGACTCTAATTTAAATCCATTCAAAAACTACCATCAAGGTGCATTTGGATCTAAAACATTATACACAATTGCTCTTTGGCCATTAGATAAACTGAGTGTTCCTGGCAGTTCACATGTTTGAGTTTAATCTTTGGTGAAAGTGAGGCTTTTTCTATTTTTGTAAAGGGAAAACTAATTTCTGTATCAGTAAAACAACAATGTAAAAGTCAAGATGATGATGAAATACTCACTCATCCCCATAAACCTGGTGGCTGAACTCAGGGTGGAATGTAGTGCTGTCGTCCTCAACATCCTCTGGAAAGCGAACTGAGCGAAGAAGACATAGTTTGACCAAGTTAAGTGACAAACAACATCCCAATCTTACAAAACCATGTCAATACAAACACATGCCTATTATCATATACATTTACAAAGAACGCAAAAATAAACATACCCAGCTTCATGCATATAGCTTCGTTGGTGTCACACTTGTATTCAGCCAGTTTCTTCTCCATGGTGTTTATTGCTGAGGAAACACAAACCATGTTGAAATTGTATGTTTTTCTGAGAGTTTAATTAATGTTTCTTGCTACACATTAACAGTGGTGCTGATTCCTAAAAAGAACAGCCCATTAAAGTTGTTCCTTTCATATGAACATACATGTCAACAGCTTAGTGAGCCGGATGAAATACAATTGCATTTAGTTTCTAAATTAAAGCACAGTAATGAAGACACAGCTGACAAATTTGTGGGGTCTAAATAAATGTAAATAACGTATGTCTTTCCCTCCTTTTTAGCTCCACAACTTCTTCTGTCATCAGAAACATGCGGATGAAAATACAAGTAGCACATGCTGACCAATAACAATCCTTAACCCCAGCTTTTTATTGCATTAGCTCCATCTTTGCAATACGCGGAGTGACAGAGAAAGAACTGAATGATAAATGGCATGATAAGGTAAAACCATAGACTGTGGGTAAAACATGTTTATCCTTGATCTGGCAACGCTAACTGTTGTGCAAAGATAAACTACCATGCTCTTACATCAGTCAGGAACGAGTAGGTTACGTTATGTTGTGTACAAAAGGGCATAACAGCTAACATAACGGTAAGTATGCCAGCATCGATCCATTGCCTCGAGGAACACATTCAACCTGACACCCAGGCGTTACATAAACACACAAACACACAGTAAGCTATGACAGCCTGGTAGCATGCTAACGTTAGCAGGCAGGCCCCCACTGCTGCTTTGTAATGTTAGCTTGGCTAGCTGTGTTTTGAACAGAACATTACCCGCTGTACAACGCCAGCGGGGCTTAAAGCGGGACCAGCGACCAGTATTCGTTGTATATCCGTTAAAACGAAGACATTAGTATTAAAGCATGAACACATTTAGCCTCTTACCCGCCATTTCTGCACACTGTGATGAGAGGAGCTGTGTTGTCCCAAAAGACCCGCGGAATCAGGACGACTTCCGGGTCCTCTGTTTCCGTGGAAACAGGATGTAGTTTTGTTTTGGCTCCTAACTTTACGTCAAATTAACTTTGTAATGTGAATACAAATGTACTCGTGAACAAATAAATACTGATAACACGGGAAGGTGAGTTCAATTAAAGAAAGACCTTTTTACAAACTGAAGTTATCATTATACGGAAGCCCATAGAAGCCAGAAGCTGAAACGTTTTCAAAATAATGACGAAGTATCACAAACATACTTTGTGGAAAGCTTCTCTTTATTACAAGTTAAGTGTGTCACTATTTTTAATGTTATCTATTTGTATGATTTTTTGCTTGGCTTAGCAAGATAGCAGTTGTTTGTTGTTTTCTTTTACTTTTTTATTTATTGGCTTATTTCATTAAACAGATGCCCTTTGTTCGGAATATAAACTCATATGTTTACATATAGCATAGGTAAATCTCAACAAGGAAGAGAAGAAACAAAGATAAAACTGAAATACAATTTTTTTTTTAAATAAGCAGTAATATATTTAGAGTTAAATTAAAGCTGATTACAAAGCAACGACTCATACAGTTCATATTTCGCCATGGGTCGAATAAAACAGAAGGATGATTTCACAAATATGCATACACTACATACCCCTGTTCATAAACACACACTTACTTGTAAACATACATATTTAGAAACATACCTACATGTGCATAGCTAGATAACAAAATAGAAAAAATTCAATTTCCTAGAGCCCGTAGTAATGTCTACTAGATTAAGCCTTAGACAGACATAGTCAGAGCTGAAAAGCAGATATTTGATTCAAGTATTGTCTGTTGGACAGTCACTAACAAGAAACGTAAGTACAGACATGCCACCAACGTACTGTAAAAGAAGCACATTTTTAGTATATGGTTTTGAGATAAATCAATTATCGATACTGTTTGCATCTATCTATCAATCAATAGTCATTTCCACATTATTCTGAACTCTTGAAAAAAAAAATAGATTTATCAGGCTTTACAATATCTCAGGATTATTAAATTGAATTGTCAACACGGTTCTGAAAAATAGGAAATATTAGTTTTCACATATTGGATTCTTCATGTATAACATAACTATTTTTATACACGAAAAAAACAACTGAAATTGACTCATGGGGGAGAGTGCAATTGTGAACATCCCCCTGAGCCCGGGTAATGCTGTGCTATCATCCCGGCCTCAGCTATTCTGTCCTCCAGGTGCACCAATGAATGACCTGCCCAGTCATGTTTAAGCCACTGTAATTTTACCTCAACACTGTCAGCACTAGATTATCCCTTTCCTGAACCATACCATACCTTTTACAGACCAAATGCAACAAATTGTGTCTGCATGGAGGCAATACATGCTGCTTGATCTCTGAACTTCAAACTACAGTCGTTTGGCCAAATGCAGGAAAAAAATATTTAGAAGTCAATTCTTGTATAGACATTTCCTATAAAAGTCAAGAGTATTTGTCTGAACTGCTGCAATCAGTGACATTGCTGTTACAGAATTTAAATAAATAATTGACTTTAATTAAATATATTATGTCAACGGATTTCACATCACTGTATTAGGTTAGTTGAAAGAAATAAGATCAAGTTTAAATAAAACATATTAGGTTCAACTTAATAGTATTGATTTCAACTTACCTAAAACAGTTATATGTAAATTGTTGACGAAATACATTTAATTAAAGTCCACTTTTCAGTTTTTACAGTGTACATGAAGGTAAGCAACAATTGCTTGGTAAAGAGCAGTTATATTTTGTAATGATGAGATAAGTGACCCAACATAGAGAAAACATTTTCTACTTATGAGCACATGATGTGGTGATAGTAAGTGCAAATTGGGTTGATGTTGATTTCGACATTTGTAAGGGGTGTAAGTTACACAAACTACAATTACTCAACACATTTTGATGTGCACATTCATTATTTTAAATTGTGAGACTGTTCAGAGGCAAGTATTGTACTATATTTATCAAAATTAAGTTACTTTTAAGATTTAGATTTATAGTAATACAAACTAAGATCAACAATTACATGTATTATTTAATATTATAGTTTAAGTAGTTTAAGATAATCTTTCTTCATCCCTTGGTTAAATGTAAAAGCTTCCTGGCACAGAAACACTCCTCCTTTACAAGCTGCAACATTAAAGAGATACACACATTAATGCATCAACAATTGTAATACCTGAATACATATTATTTAAAAAAGAGATGTTTTGCAGGATGAGCAACACAATTCCCAACAGTAAGACTACAATGCTGAGTGCAAAGTGTGCTGGGATGTAACAGGTGGCTTTATCATAAGGTGGATCTGACAGTAGCCTATATGCATCAAATATGAATAATACAAATAATAGATGCAGCCACATTACGCAATTATATTGTTCTGAAGCTGAACATTTTTAGTTTTCTGTTATTTTAACATGTCATCACTGTATTTTGCTATCCTGGTTATTGTCCTGGTTACAGTGCACCGTGTCCTCATGTGACCCGGCAGACAGCAAGCTCTCAGCTGCTGCCTCTCTGTCCGGAGCATCGCGTCTCGCGTTGGCTCCTCGTCCGACACACCGCCCTGCAGACAGAAAAGGACAATACTCTGCTAAATATATATTTGGTGTCTTAGACCACGGCGGTCCCGTGTCATGCTCGCTGTCATCCTCGAGCCCAGCGCCTGAGCTAGTTCACTGCAGCTGACGTCACTCCCAGCATGGCGGTCAAGGTGACTCCGTCAATATTTCTTTTCAGATATTCATTTTAAAGGCAGCAAAGCAGCCGTCGGATACGGAGGACAGCATGTCTGGTCAGACGCGTGGGTTTAAAGCTCTTGTCTTAAATGCAGCAGAATCCACTACTCTTGTGTTTCTGCATCTTTACAGGGGCATCTCTGCCAGCCTGCAGAGACAACTGTAGTTTTGGTTGCATTTGCATATAGAGGAGATTTGGTTTGAATACGTTGTTTACATGTATGGTGTTAATAATTGTTGCTACAGCCGTCTGTGATTGACCGTACAAATCAAAGCTGACCAGTTACACCATGAACTTCAGTTTTATTGATTTAACATATGGCTTAGTATCCCTACATTGTGTATTTTATATTAGGCTTCATTGTGATAATCTGACTATGAAATGTCTTTATAGCAAATTCGAACTTGTGTGTTACAGGTGCAATCAACAAAAAGGGCAGACCCCCATGACTTGAAGGCTATTTTTCTGAAGGTAAGACTGCTGCTCACAGAAATTAAAACATTTGGAGCATTAACCAACAAGGCACAAACAGGAGTCTCACAAGTGTACTAACATGTTGCAGCCGTGAGTTACTCTGTGGTGTCCATTGGGATACTACATATTTCAGTAAAGGTCACAAATGCTTTGACTAATTTTGGATCTGCTTAAACAGAGAATATCCCTCTTGCTTTGACTTGTATGTGTTGTGATCTTAAGCATGTCATTAGATTTCTCATCACTCTCTGCCCGCTAACCGTCAAAAAAACAAATCCCCACCATTAGGGTGTGGGCTTGTTTACCCACACATGTCTTATTTGCAGGATATACTTGTCCCTTAAAGTAGGGACTCTGTTTGAGATGCAATTCGCCTTAAGGTCTCTGCACATCTCTTGACTCCACTATAAGTGGGCTGCTTAATTTGAAATGCATATTCAGGTGGAAGAGTTAATTACTGGAAGCTCATTCTGACTGCCTGTATAATTTGATTAAGAACTACTTGAGGCCTACTGTGAGGATAAATGGATACACAATCATGTGAACGAGTAATGTGGCAATAAATTGCTTGGAATTAATATTTTCACTTAAAACATTAATTCAGCAGAGTGCATTGAATTGTAATGCTGAAAACACTTGGCTTGAAGGTCTCCTCCCACACTCTTGCTCTGTTTATTTCATGCTCTCTCTGTCTGACTTGGCACCCATGAGCGTGGCCTTTCTGTTGCCAGTTCATGTGGTGCTTGTGTTTCAGAGCTATCTCTGTTCCAACTGGAAACCCAACCCAGACTCTATATTTGACCTTACATCTTAAAGCCCGCTGAGATCTCAGGTTTAGCACAGTGCTGTGTGAGCTGTGCATGTTTCTGCTCCAGTCACGTGAAATAGAGAAGCAACATTGCTTGCGTGCTGATGGTTATTGATTGTCACACGTGTTATGCAGTTTATCAATTTCCATTTGTTGTGTTGTTGTGCCTTCATAGCTGTTATGTGAGGATTATTTGAGGTTGTATGTGTACCTTAATTGTGTCGTTATACAGTACATTCTGAACCTGTGTTAATGCACCAATAAACTGATTTCTTGGCCCAAATGTAAAATCCAAATGGCATCCCCTTGACTTCCATCCATTTAGAACAGGTAATGCTATCTAATATGTGTATTCACCACAAAGCAAACTATTAATTCCTGTTTTAGCAGGTTTTCAAGTTTCTTACAAGTCAACTAACTATGTGGATTTTACAATTGTATCTCCTCCCTGTTGTGCTTTGTATCAATCTTGAATGGTGTGGTATGAGTGTAGGAGATATCATACCAAAACAATCTAGATTGATTTTTATTATTAATTCATTTAATTATTATCTCAGTGTGTTATGCATTAATGTGTTAAACCGCCTTGATTTTTCAGGCAGTTAAATCACTAAATCAGCCAAAAATTATGTTATTTTTGGAAAAATGCGCTTGTGATTTTGTCAAAAGCTGTCATTTTATTTATTTATGTTTATTGTTTTTTGCAATCATTGAAGTGTACAGCACACCATGCATATTGATGTTTGTCTATCTTACATTTTCTTTTAAAATGTAATTGTGTATCCTCTAGAGATGAATATGGTCCTTCTGAGTGCAAGGATACATTTATCTCGCTCCTACATTAAGTCAAAGAAGGACAATAATTTGAAAGAGACTGCTGCCTTTCAATTCATTCTGTTATTATGTTATGCAGAAAAGCATTGTATACATTTAGAAAAATTGTGTAGCGGCAGAAAACTAAACCAAATTGGGCCAGAATAGAAAAAAGACACAAACATCTTACTGTCATAAAAAAGAGAGACCAATTATCACCTATTTTTCTCTTTGCATTTAGTAGTCCACATCTTTTTCTTTCTAAACACATGTTATAAGACACCCACGTTGTTTACAGCTCTGTGTGTGTCTCCTCCGCAGTATGCCAGTGTGCTGGAGGATGGAGAGCATTACATGACCCCCGGGGACTTTGTACAGAAGTACCTGGGTCTGCATGCACAACCTCAGCATAATCCCAAAACTGTGGAACTGATAGCTGGAGTTGCTGACACTACGAAAGATGGGTGAGTGCCTACAGTGACGTAAGGAAAGTTGCCTAGATTTGTGATATCCTGTTAATGTCTGTATTTCTTCAAACAAATCTGTAGATCTCATTTTGAATTTACAGGGTTTACGTTTCCTCACATCTTCATTCCCAGTGTCAGCTGTAATAAATTGTTTTGGTCTAAAATAGCCTCTTGGTATTTCTTGTACGTTGATCGTTACACTTTTTATGATTTTCCCATTATCTTGACATTTCTCCAGCAGTCGCGACAGATTAGTTATTGGAGGCAGCCTCTTCTACTTAAATGTATATTAAAGTAAATATTAAATGCCATCGTTTGTTGTCTTGAAAGCAATGTAAGGACAAAGGGAAACTAGAATTCTTAAATTACATGCTGTCAGCACAATACTACAGTACAGGAATGGAGATTATTTTACAAGACGACAAGCGTGTTGAAGTCGAAGCAGTGCCTTGTTAGATGTTATGGGAGGATTATGTTGTGTTTATGTACTTACATTAGGTTGTATACATTTTTTTTTTATTCCGTTACTGGGTCACACATTTCTGTACATTATTGCACCAATAAATGAATGTTGGCCAGAATGTAAAATATAATGTACCACGCCTCCCTCCCGCCACAAAAGCAAACATTTCCCTCATGTGTTATTGCTTTATCAATCTAGATAGTTTCGGTGTGAGCTGCCCAGTTTTGGAAATAAAGGTCAAAGAGGGGTACTTAAAGTGCCAGAAAAAACAAACATATTTGATAAAAAACAATAGCAATGTCTCTCTCCAGAAATCATGACCTGGTTACGCAGATACTCCACAGACCTTGTTGTGTGCAGTTTCATGCAGGAGCTATTTTCTGCCAACAGTATTACTGTGCAGAAGGAAGCGTACATCTACTCACAACTACTCACATCTACGCAGGGACGAGAGTCTTTTCTGAGCATCCTAACTGTGAAGTGTAACATTGAGGATGCAATTCATGTTTAATTAGAAATGCACTGCCACAAAATACAAGCCCTTCCACAAACAAAATAGGTCAAGGTTTGTGAATTATCTTGATTATCCAGGTCCTAACATTTCAAACAATACATGGATGTTGAGTTTTTTAATTAATTTGTTGGCACTTTGACCACCACAACCCAAGTACCATCTAGTTTGTTTTATTTGGAGCAATGTAGACAACAAACCAAAACAATCTGGATTGTTTAAAAGCATTACAGTTAAGCGGTTTTGATATTGGTGTGAACGGTCCTCTTAAGGTCCGTTTGACACCTGTGTGTCTCACCTGTTGCACTAACATGTGTAGTAGGGGCTAAACAGACTGTGAATGATTTATCTTAATAATGTTAGCAGAGTAAATAGGTATCTTTATCAGGCAGTTTTACACCTGCAGCTAATCAATTTCAAATGAATTTATAAGATAGCTGTGTCTATATTAATCTTGAATTAAAGAAAAGAGAGCAGCAGTTAGACCTCCACTTTGTCTAAAGAACAGCTAAAATAAATAAATAATGGGGTAAAAAGATCTTTAAATACCAATCTTCTTAGCAAATTAGGGCTTTTTTTTTTGTTGTTTTCTTGAAGAAAATTTAAAGATATTCGTAATAATAATACGTATATAGTTTATACAATAAATTATGAAATATAATAGAAAACATGTTGAAGCTCAACATGGACGAGTCCTTCAAGTGCCCTTCAATGTTGAAATGTAGATCATATCATTTGTAGAATTAAATGGACCTGGCTGAAATTGTTTAAGTGCTGTTTTCATTGTCAAGAATGAACTCTGAAGCACTCTGTAAAATAGATTTAAGATCACTTTACTGCATACGCTTTCTGTCATTTTGTACTTTCTTTTGTATTTTTTTACGTTTTGTTCAGTATTTCTTCTGTACTTTTGTCATAAACACTTTGTTCAGATAGCACTCTTTCTTTCTTGTCCAAACAGACTGATCTCTTTCCAGGAGTTTCTGGCCTTTGAATCAGTTCTGTGTGCCCCGGATGCTCTGTTCATAGTTGCCTTTCAGTTGTTTGACAAGACGGGCACAGGCGACATCTCTTTTGGTATGTAAATGGTAAATGGTGGTAACTTCATATATGTAATGAAAGTTAAAATTCTCAATACATCTGCACGATGGGGGTTCTAGGTCTGTTTGATTGTGACATTGATCGTTTTGGGCTGCAAGAGCTTTTCTTACTAAAGCATGTGTTGCCAATAAATGTAACAGCAGCCATGCCTTTTTTATGTATTACATATGCTAGTAGTCTCGTCTAAGGGCAAGACAGCAAGTGAGCTGTTTGGAACATCTCATTATAACAAGCTCCATCTGACAGGCAGAGCAATGAATCCAGCATGTCATAAACTAAGAGATACAGAGTCTTACAAAGAAGCTGCGGCTATGCTCGGTCTGTGCACTGAAACTGAGGCAGTGCTTATACAGAAAACGTCCAGTATGGACTCAAAACCCTCAAAATGTAAAGTGGAGGAGTGGAACTGTCAAACAGCACATTCAGCTTTGCAATCCAAATGGAGTATTTCCTCTACTTCAACAAGGTTTTCTACCAACGCAATCAGGATGTAAGATAGATAAAATTGCATCTTGCATGTTTCCCCCGTCTCTTTTTTTATCGCTCATTCATGTTTTACTCTTTCAGAAAATGTACGTGACATCTTCAGCCAGACCACAGTTCATCACCACATTACCTTCAACTGGGACTGTGAGTTCATCAAGCTTCACTTTGGCCATGAAAGGAAAAAGAGACTCAGCTACTCAGAGTTCACCCAGTTTCTGCAGGTATATAATCGATCTACACTTTCTATACTATAGGTTCTGTAAAATTACCAATGCTGCTTGACAAGCCTGCAGCAAGTCTCGCAACAAACAGACTACTAAGCTTGATTTCCTGTCCAGAGTTACAGCAAAAATAATGATACTACTCTTTTGTCTGTCAATCAAAAGCTAAGAAGATGGTTAGCTTAGCTTAGCATACATACTTGAAACAGGGAGGAAACAGCCTGACTCTGGTCTGCCCATCAGAACCTTTAAAGCTATTTATAACTTTATGTCACATATTTTAGACTTAACTCGTTGTACAATCTAAAACCTGATGGTGATGTAAGACTCCAGAAATTCACTGCGAAGAAGATCCTTATGCTATGCTACGCTAACCGGCTGCTCATATTTGTTATCGAATTCGCATACACAGATCAAATATAAGAGTGTTATCAGTGTTCCTATTTTACACTTGGCAAGAAAATATTGTGTTAACCAAAATGCTTTATTATTACTATAATGTGTTCAACAATTTCTATTTGTCACTTTTCTTAATTTAAATATGCCCCTAACTAATTATTTGTTTATTCATCTTCTCTCTCTCCTCGCCCTTTTCGCGAGGGGACACAAAATGGAGAAAGAGTCCTGTGTTATTAACCAACTGTCTGTCGCACTTCCTCTTTTCTTTTGCTTTATTTATGGAGACACCTCTTTGACAAAAATGTACACAATGTATTGTTGTATTGAAATGGATACCAACTGAGATAAAAGAGACTGTAGTAACAGTAAAAGTGTAGCATTTTAATTGGTATTTTAAAAAGTGTTATATTCCTCTGTTAAAGGATGAGTAGTCTGAACAGTGTAGATTCATTGAGTTCAGCAGCAGATATTAAGAGCAACAGTTAAACAGGTATGCATCATGATATGCTGCAAAATATCTTAGAAAGTGAGCGTCAGTTGAATGTAAAACCATTCATAATGATCACCTTTATCCCGTGGCGAGGCTTTTTCCTCCTTCTGAGGAACAAATGGAAATGACGTAACGTGAACTGCATGCCGTATATAATCTCTTAAGATAATGGTGTTGTGGTGTGGAGTTGCATCTCTTTAGCCGTTCTAGCGGTTTGTGGTAGCCCAGTGTGCCATTAAGACACTTAACGTTGTTGTTTTGCTTTATTGGTTGCTGCCTGTATCTCACTGAGACCTCTGTGCTGTGAAATCGGCAGAAGCAGTATAGGGTCAGGCCTGGTTTGGAGTTGGGGTCTGCTGTGGAGAGGCTGGGTGGTCCGAGAGTTAGACAGGCTGCACTGCAGTGTGGGATCCCTCAGAGCACTTTGTGGTTTATCATACTTGACTCAGGCTTCCCACTGCTACACCAAAGACCCTAGTGTGTGTAGGATTTAATTTACATCAATCATTTTGGTTGTCTTGTTTTTCTGTCGTGTCCAAGCAGATTTCATTTCTTAACATGAGTATTACTTAAAAATACAAAACAGTACATATGTAGTGTAGATTGTTTGTTTCTCAAACAGTCCTGGCTCTGCCACCTTGTGGTTGTAGCGGTATTTGGCTAGACTTAAAACTTTAGTAAGTGCATTCAAGGTAGAGGTTTTATAGACTTAAAAAGTATGATGTTTGTGAGGCGGCAAAGTAGCATTATGAATTCCCAACAATATAATCAGCAAACATTGTGAGGATTAATCTCCAGCAACAATCCACTGATTATCAGAACCAGAGTGTAAAGATGGAGCTGAGTATTGCGGTGACGTTTCTCTGTGGTCCTCTGGTTGTATGCGATGAGCTCTGACAGCAGACGTTGACCCGGGGTCAGCCTCCCCCTGCATCTCCATCTGATTGCATGGTTGTCATATTGAATCATCTTCCTGCGGACACACCTGCCGGCCGCCTCACCCTCCGCTCGGCTCGGCTCCGGGATCAGGCTTCTCGGGACATGGTTTCCATTAGTCTCCAGAGAGACTGTGGTGATTACAACAGCCAGTGTCTGACGCTGTCACATCTGATGCCTTTCACATCTGTCCAACACTGACATTATTACACTTTCATCCTCTAAAGTACAATTTCCCTGTTCCCTTGTAATGCGATGCTCCTCATCACAGGAACACATTATTTGCCTCTTTTGTCAGCTAACAGCTTGACCTCCTCTCTTTGTGTGTGGTGCTGCAGGAGCTGCAGTTGGAGCATGCCCGCCAGGCGTTTTCACAAAAAGACAAGAACAAAAGTGGCACCATTACTGCTTTGGACTTCAGCGACATCATGGCCACCATCAGACACCACATGCTGACTCCATTTGTAGAGGAGAACCTGGTTTCAGTGAGTTTCAGAATTTCTTTTAGACCACTGTTGAATGTTTAAATCTGATATAATTCATATTTTTTATAATAAAGATCTTTATAGCATGTTTCAGCTCATTGTTAAGCTGTTCAACATACAACTGAACTGATTTGTTTCAGCTTTGTCAGCACTCTTAAAATGTCATTTTTGGCCATTGAAGGCAGCTGTTTGCACCTTAAAACCCACTCTTCACTATCTTCTCAGCAGCAGACAGACGGTTGCCACTATCTAGTCAACAAAGTGGAACATTTAGCACCTTTGGAGCCAGATATTTCCTCAGGAGTTGGTATAGAACAAAAACAGATATAAAAAGATAGTAAAACTATGACATTTGTGTAAATAAATAATAACTTAAAATGCAATGATATGTCACTGTAGTTTGAACAACTTGTTCCCGCTGCCCCCAAGTGGCCAACAAGTGTTTTCAAAATGTTTAAGAAGAAAGTAAAATATAAGAATCCACTGAGTCTACAGTAAGCTTGGTCTTTTTATACTGCAGCAGAGCTGAATATAATAAAATCCAGTCGATGCTTCCCATACAGAAGCACTGACAGACTTTTGATGGTTCTCCAGGCTGCAGGAGGCAGCACCTCCCACATGGTGAGCTTCTCCTACTTCAATGCCTTCAACGCCCTCCTCAACAACATGGAGCTGATTCGCAAGATTTACAGCACCCTCGCCGGCACTCACAGAGACACACATGTTACCAAAGGTACATCTGAGACACTCCCAACATCCAAATTAGCCATGTTTTAAACGTGATGTGAAATGTAGCTGTGCGATGATGTCTTAACTTTTTTTTGACAGAGTGGTATGAGAGAACACACAGGAAACATTTACTGTAGCACTAAATTACTAAGGTAAATGAACATTTTTAACTTGGTAATCAGATCACCTTCAACATGTAGACCTGTGTAACCGATAGAGGTGCTGACAATCACACTGATCCTAATCTACTTTCTCTCTATGGTTTCCCTCCTTCTAGAAAAGGGTTAGGGCAAATAGTATTTGCAAATAATTCTTGTTATACATAATTCTAAACATATCAGACTGAGTGTAAAGCAAACACTCACATTTCTCTGCCGGTCGCTGTAAAGCATATCATTGCGGCACTTGAGATGACAGAAGCAGGCTTGTAAGCAAACGTTGCAATCCTTGGACCTGGCAGGAAGGTCTTTGTGGGGGAAGTGAATAACTAACTCTTTTCCCTCCTTCAAAAACAACCATTAGAGTTTCCTATTAGAGAGACCACCTGATGGTAATGGAGCTTCTCAGCAGGCCACAGTAAAGCACTGAATATAAAGCACATATAAAAGAGTGACACAGGCTGCTGCTAAGGGGGTTGCAAGCTCAGTCTACTCCTGCCACATCCAGAATGGAGTAAATGGTTTTTAAAATATCTCTATAATATCCTTAAATAACCTGTTTAGCAATAAACATTCACAATAAATCGAAAAAACAAGAAACAGTGTTTGCAAATACTATTTGATGCTACCCTGCTGTAGAAAATACCTGACGTGGCTAACCCCTCAGCTTCCTCAAGTCCTGTTTGCATCTTTTAATTTATTCTTCTCTTTGTTGCATTGCAGAGGAGTTTGTTCATGCTGCCAATAAGTTTGGTCAAATCACTCCGATGGAGATTGCCATCCTGTATCAGCTCGCTGGTCTCCACACTCACTCCGGGTAAGACCCTGAATTACCCTTTAACCCTCTAGAGTCCGGCTATTGATCTGTGAATATACTGAACATGTTTTTATTTACAGTACTATAGCTATTTATGTATCACATTTTGACATTTTAATTGTCAAGTATTTTGGGTTACTGGTAGCTTAAGAAAGGTGGTATGAATCAGACTCTGTGCCTTTTGTGCTGAAAAGAAAGATACTTTGTATGTGGGGTATGGACGATCCTCTGCTCACTGAAATCTGTAAAGAAAAAAAAGAAAATAGCAAGCTTTAGGTCAGAGACCTTCTTCAAGCCAAGAACTGGTAGCAAGTGTAGGTAGCTGTATGAAAGGAACATCATTTGATTAATACAAAACACTTACATCAGTTGAACTAGTGTGGCTAAACATCAAGATAATTGTAGTCTTTGGTATAATGGACTACAAGTCAAAGACAATGTCAAGTGAGACAGTCTGCAAATCTGAGCACATCAAATGTACAGGATAGTATAAAAAAAACGCAAAATAAAAATAATAAGGCGTAGAAAGTCCTTAGACTCCAAAAAACAACATTTACTTAACCTTAGCACTTGAGTCTTACAATCACCCTGGTAGGTTTTTCTGCTGTTCCCTCGAATCCACCAAGGGTATACAAACAATTTCAACATTACCTTGTTATTTTTTTTTATCTACCATGAATGGAATAAATATGTTGCAGGTCTGTTTATAGGCTGTAAAATAAAGTTATTGCTCATTCATTTTAACAACAGTGGCTCCACTGGCTGATTTACAAGACAAACATAAAACATGCATACAGACTTTATGATGCGTCAGGCCAGTGGGGAATTCTTGTGTCTCAAACTCTGAGTAACAAAACACTTTCATTTACTCGCTGGGCCACGGGCACTCATCCAGCTTTGTTTGTCTGTTGTTTATATAAGCTTAAATTAAAGTTGCTGTAACTTGAAGTTATATGCCAGTAAAAGGTCTGTGGAAAATCTTACGTAACTGGCAGGAGATGCAGGGCTTTCTGCTTTTTCCTGGCCTAATTCCTTCCCTCCCCTGCTGTTATGTGTTAAGGCGGCTGAACCATGCAGACATCGAGAGGATAGCCCCGTTGGAGGAAGGAGACATGCCTTACCACCTAGCAGAGACCCAGAGACAGGTAGCCTGCCTGCTCCTCTAATACACCCCACGTCCTCCTGCCTTTTATCAAAAGCCTTTTTCTCTGCTCCCTCTGCTTCCTTCTCAGAAAGGAGCTAAAAAGGGAAAATGTTCAGCTGCTGAATTAGCCGAGTGCCCATGTTTTTTCTTCCCTTGTGAAGTGCATTACTTTGACTCCCAGATAAAAGTACACCAATTATAGTCATAGAAGAGGAATGGATTGTTGCGTTGCACCTCTCCATGAAAGGCTCTCCCTCCTTTATTCACTATAGCCGCACATACACATGAGCTGCAATCACACATCTGAGAAGCTAATAAGAGGCTTTTATCAGTGTGGGGCTTGAGGAGTTTTAGGAGCCTTTAGAAAATTCTGCTAATGGCAGGAGGGGAGTGGGAGTCAAGGTGGATGTGGGTGAACAAAATAGTTCCTGCCTCCACCGGATAACACAGCTCTATATCAGGCTGTGGTCAGAGCTTTCAGGCCACTCATGCTCCTGGGACTCACACTCAGAGGTCTGGAATCTGATTCCTTCGGGGGGGATGCTGCAATTCTCAGGCCTGCCCTTTAGTGGAAGTAGGCTAATTGTTTAAACCCTTTGATCAAGACCTCGATCTTGTTAGCATGCAACCCTCGGTGGAAGCATCTGGGAAGAGGAAAAAAAACAATCTGTTGTACTCCCCTCTTCGCATCTGGTCTTGGAGAAGTTACTCAGCGCCTCGACCTGCACACACATACTTTAACAGAGTCTCACTCGGACTGTGTAATATTCATGTAGATACTTATCTGGACATGGAAAAGGCTTGTGGGGCTAATCTGTTCCCCTTGTACCAAAGTGAAAACAAAGGGGCTCCGCTTTCAACATCAAACACCAATCCAGAGATCAAGTAGATAAGAGAGAAAACCAAACTTTGTTGTAAAAATAAAAGAAGACCTTTAGCTCGTAGCCTCCGACGTGCAGCATGTGTGGAAAACAGGGCTGCAGGTTCACACAGTAATTTACTGTATCCAGACTGGCCTGTCTGTGACATTTACCGGCTGATGATGAATTAGACGTTATGTGACATTCCATTGCCGTCCTCCGTTGTTGAGTACTGCACAGCGTTTTTCTTTCCACAATGTATCTGGTTCGCTATAGTTTAATACCCAGCCGATTCATGGTTAGTGTTCTGACCCCCCCCCCCCCCTTGTCTTTCTTCAGATTCATTTGACCACTGGTGTCTTTTTCTCCCACACAGCACCCTCGCGAAACGTCTCGGCCCATCTGGCTCCAGGCTGCAGAGTCTGCCTACAGGTTTTCTCTGGGCTCAATCGCTGGAGGTGAGTGACATGTCTGCGGCAGAGCCCCCGGCCCGCCCGAGGGGTAACCTTAGCCGGCCAGACTGGCGCTCTGAGGCCCCGGGGCCGGCCATTGTGCTGCATCTGAGAGGGGTTGGGATGTGAGGCTCCGGCATTGTGCTGCCGTGCCACCGGTGGCTCCAGGCTGTCGTTGGAGTCGGAGCTCTGGAATGACACAAATCTTCCGGAACCGCACTCTCTGGAATCTCCGTCTAATTACACTCGAAGCACTGATACAAGGAACGTCTGACATAACTGCACTGTGTGTGTGTGTGTGTGTGTGTGTGTGTGTGTGTGTGTGTGTGTGTGTGTGTGTGTGTGTGTGTGTGTGTGTGTTGTGTGTGTGTGTGTGTGTGTGTGTGTGTGTGTGTGTGTGTGTGTGTGTGTGTGTGTGTGTGTGTGTGTGTGTGTGTGTGAGTGTGTGCTCTCCACGCAAATACTTATCAATCCTCATCCACCAGAGGCCAATTCATGCAGGGTCAAAAAGAGAAATATACCATAGTTATCTGGTGGTAAAACTGCCATAAAAAGCAGTTTCTCACCCGGCCTCTGTGCTGACCGAGGAGTTTGCATGTTCAAGAGGAGATATTTCTCAGCAGCCTTTGATGTCAGACAAGACAAGACAAGTAAAGCTGCTACAGAGCAGAGTTTAGAGCAACTTGCTGCAGCGTCACCTCCTCAAACTGTTTTCCCACAGTTACTAGTTTGTTTATAGTTTATACTAGATTACTAATCGACCCCTCCCAAAACATTTCTGCAGAATTATTATTGCACAAACATTGTGTAAGACAATAACAAATGAATTTGGGTGACGAGATGGCTTATATGCACCAAGTGAACTGTCTGAGAGCTCAAAAATGTTGATTCAGAGCTGAACAGATTAGTCAGATAATCTAATGGATCTAGAGAAAATACAATGATTTGATAGTTCCAGTCTTTCATCAAGGCCACATATTTATGCGTTTCAGCTTCTCAAATGTGAGGATTTGCTGCTTTTCTTGCAGAAATAATATAATATATTTAGGCTTTGGACTGTTGTAAGGTCAAAACATGACATTTAAAGATGACAAATTGGTCTCTGTGAAATTAAAAAGAGGATTTTAAACAGTTTCCAACATTAAATAGAAAAAACGTTTAAATAATAATAATAATCAATAAAACCCTTAGAGTTGTATGTGTCTAAGAAAAACATACAAAGTAATACATCTGTTTTAACATAATTTTGTAAAATGTTGTTGAGATGATTTCTGATTTTTTCCCCCGATTAAAACGAAACAAAGACTTCAACAATTGACAGCAAATGTGTGTGTTTTTAGCGACCGGTGCCACGGCTGTGTACCCCATCGACCTGGTGAAGACGCGCATGCAGAACCAGCGCTCCACAGGCTCCTTCGTAGGAGAGCTGATGTACAAGAACAGCTTCGACTGCGCAAAGAAAGTGCTCCGCTACGAGGGCTTCTTCGGATTCTACAGAGGTAATCCTTTGCAGATTTTACAGTGCGTAAAAGGAAATCTGTGTGCAGGCCAACATATGGCTCTCGTGCAAAACATACCGTCTGATGGGAAAGCATTAGGATTTGTCAGTGTGCTAATATCAGCAGCATGGTTTGCTAATTGATACCAGAAACCTTTGCCCCCCCTGTTCAGCAGTGAATAAAGCAACACCCAGGGGTCGCGTTTTCATTATCTCGATACCTGGGAGAGCTCCCCGAGGAAAAGGAGCAGCAGAACTCATGTAGCAGCAGTGTGTGATCTGCCTCGGCCCGGCTGTGTGATAATGGTGCTGAAGGCTTGTGATATACAACACTTCTACCCTCAGGCTGCTCAGAGGAGGGAAGTCAAGACTGCCATCTACTGCTACCTCCTCCACTGCAGCTCTTTGTTGCACTGATCTGCTCCCCTCTGCCTTCCTGCCTCCTCTCTTGCACATGATAAGAGGGTGATTGACTCGGAGACAGACACGCTCGGCTGTTTTCTGGCTGCATACCAGCAGCAGTCACTCAGCAGCTCCTTCAGAAGTTTATCTGGCCTGATGAAGGACAGACGGTGAAACAGTATGGCGGTTATCGCCACCATAGCACCCAGCCACCCCCCCCCCTCCACCCTCGATCTTGTCCGTGACCACACAGCTCTCTCTGTTCCCCACCAACACTGGGATCAGGCTCAACAATGCTGATCCCATACACACCAGCAGTGTCATATTTTTTGACTTTTGTTAACTTTCAATGGGACCTTTGTATTGTAATGCATCTGATGTATCACCCACATCTGTAAATATTTATGGGTTTGTTTTACGCACACAAGAACCCTGCAGCTTACATTGTTCTAGCTGTCAGTAGATGTATTCATTCAGCGAAGATAAAAAATGTGCATTCATTTGGAGCCAGACTCTGTCTCTCTCTCTCTGTCAGGTATTCTAATGGTACCTATGAATAATATTTTGCAGGTCTGCTCCCGCAGCTCATCGGCGTTGCCCCGGAGAAAGCTATCAAACTCACGGCAAGTCATTCCACTGTGTACCTCCAAAAGTTGCTCCGAATAATTCACTGTGAATAAAAAACATGCACACAGCGCAGGAGAAACACACTATCCGCAATCAAGATGTGACTGTAACCACAAGTTAACATTAATGCCCTGCTATCAAGATTGGGATTGGGTCTCATCTACCTTTTTTCTTCATGTCTTTTATTTTCAGATGAATGATTTTATCAGAGACAAGTTCACCACAGACGATAATTCCATCGTTCTGCCTGCAGAGATTCTCGCTGGTGGATGTGTAAGCATGACTTTAGGGATCTTTTTTTTATTCGGTCTACAAATGAACCCAAAACCAAGTAAAGGAACACTGAAAAGATGTGCAAAATATACATGATTTTAAGTAATTGTTAAGTAATGGACATTACCTTACTATGGTATATAATACAATTGAAATGCTCATTTGAATCCTACATTTAAAATAGTATTTTCCGTGTATACGGACTAGCTTGTTCCCTTATAGGATGAAAATATATGTTTTAACTAAATGCATGCATGATGATGTACATTTTTTTAAACGCTCATGACTATATACAGTGGTGGATGAAGTATTCAGATTTACTATATATACTTTATTGAAGTACATTTACCAAAACTACAATATAAAAACCGATATTACAAGTTCATGTTCTGCATTGAGAATCCCAAAGACTTATTAGTTACATAAAAAGTGAAAAAACACATCATTGTGTAGCATAAACACACATGTACCTCATATTGAGTTGATGTCCTTAATTACACTTCACGAGGGACTATAAACACACTTTATATCAGGTGATCTGAACGCATATTTTGAATTTTAGCCACATTTTACCAGATTATATTTTTTGTTATTTATTTGAAATGTTAGCATTTTTTCTTCTCTCACATACTCATCATTTAAAAAAACTCCATCATTGATCATTCATTTAGTTTGTGTGTGAGGAATTATAATTATTGGCCCTGAAGTGAAGTATTGTTTTTTAGCAACCAACATTTTGTCATACTCAATGTAATTTTAGATTTCTATTTTTACTCTTGGCTAAATTGCCAAATAATAACACCTTTGAGGGGAACTCTAGATTACAGATGTAATTCCTTCACTCTGGCTGTGGGGAAGTGAAACAGGCCGTCCTTGCAGCAGAGCCTGCAGGTTGCTCACAGAGGAGCGGGGTCTCCGGGGTTGTGACCCCTGTCAGGGTGTAATTGTAGGAAGAGGCCCTGGAGGGTCCTGGATGAAGCTGGCTCTAGCTCAGTGTGATTGAGTTTGACAACGCGGTACATACCTGAGGCGTGGTCCCACTGCAGGACAACAAGGATGTTTCCAATACATGTTAACATCTCAGGATACATTCAATCTATGGCCTGCATTACTTTCAATGCGATCATATGTATTGGATGACATCTTCAAGTTATTTTAAGAAAGTTAAAAGTGTGTTTAATCTGTTGGTAAACTATCGCTCCCATCAGAGGAGAGGAAGATAAAAGAGACGGGACGAATGCATCAATCTTCAGAGCGGCGGATATTCCCCCCTCCACTTTGAAAATGACTAAATGTGCCAGAGCTTTTTTTAGAACTTTGCTCGGATGTTTACAGATAAGACCCCTGCCCTGCATGTCACCAGCGGCCATCCTGGGGCCTGATTAGATTTAGGGAGGGTGATAAATGTGTCTGAGTCAGAGGGTGCCGTGCCTTCAGGGCATTGCTCGCCCGGACCCCGAGCAGTCCGGGTGATTCAGTGCTCTCCCCTGGGAATGGGGGTGAATTGGGGAAGTGTGCGGGGCGAGGCCAGAATGGGCCGCTCACCCTGCCACAGGAGGTGCCTCAGGGGGGGGCGAGGGGGCAGAGGGCCGGTGCCAGGGTCACAGCCTCCCAACCATGAGCCGGGGCTTCTCCTCACCCGACGCCTGCTCTGCTCTGACCCCGCTGGTTCCTCTATCAATGGCTGCTTTTTCCTCCTCCTGTCAAGGCCACTCTCTTACTATATGGAATCAGATCATGGGGAAAAAGCGGCCCTTTGTGCTGAAGTTTACTGAGATAATTAGAAAACGCTTACACATCATTACATTTTCACCCCAAAAGTTCACCCCTCAGATGTGTAAGCTCAAGTCTGAGTGCATAAAAAGCACCATTCAGCTGTTTGTTTGTCCTGTTGCAGGCTGGAGCTTCCCAGGTGATTTTCACCAATCCTCTGGAGATCGTTAAGATCCGTCTGCAGGTGGCTGGAGAGATCACCACGGGCCCCAGGGTCGGAGCCATGACTGTTGTGAGAGACCTGGGCTTCTTTGGCCTCTACAAGGTAGGTCAGCACCTCTGCAGCTCCGGGACGTCTGCAGCATCCTCCGCTGCCATGCAAGGGCAAAGGTGCAACACTAAAAACATGGGGGGTTTATTTGTTGTTCAGTGTTTAGATTCACAATAGAAGAGGTTTGGTGGAAGACATCTTTAGACAACAATCTAAAAATAGCTAACAATTAAAGTGGCACTAAGGACACTTTTTTTTAAAACAATTACATAAATGATTATTTAGTTTAAAGTTGCAAATCTAATTTGTGATTAATAGACCAAAAATGTCAGGTACACTTTTCAGTAATAGAAACAATACCACAATACAGCACTTAGTAAAAAATAAAGCTCCTCAATGCAAAATACCACTTAAAGCAAGTACAATCTGTATAGTGTACGCATGTTTAACTTATTTAAGTACAATTGTTCATTTTGCAGTTTTATAATGTTACTGGATTATTATTACTGATGCATTAACTGTTCAAAAGTATGTTTATGTCATTCTTTGTTTGATTTAGTTATTTAATCTATATTGTTGAATACTTTAATCGCTAATAATGCTCCTTTCTTAAAGATATTTAAGCATAAAAGATTCACAATACTGGATAAAAAAAATACAGTTCTTTATTAAATGTATTTTCCTTTCACAATTGTATATATTAACATATGATCGGAGGTTTACTCCTGTAATGATGCATGGATAAAATACTGTTCTATTTGAACAAAGGTTTGTGTATGTGTACACAGACATAATGGGCAGATCAGACTCACACATTTAAATATAAAACCTTCATTTTGCTGACTGTTTGCAATTTTCCAATACAGTGTCAAACATACAAAAAGGAGCTGTGGCCAAAAACCAAAAGCAAATTAGTGCGGGATTATGCTCTGCTACTGCTCCTTTTCCAGATCCTTGTGGGTTTACTTGCTGCTCAAGTCATGTGTTCATACTCCATATTTTAATGAGTAGCAGACAGTGTGTGGCTTGTTAAAAAAAAGAAAAGCTGACTTCCTCTTGGCAGAAGAACCCAGCACACCAGGGTCCATGGCTGTGCTGTGTGTGTGTGTGTGTGTGTGTGTGTGTGTGTGTGTGTGTGTGTGTGTGTGTGTGTGTGTGTGTGTGTGTGTGTGTGTGTGTGTGTGTGTGTGTGTGTGTGTGTGTGTGTGTGTGTGTGTGTGTGTGTGTGTGTGTGTGTGTGTGTGTGTGTGTGTGTGTGTGTGTGTGTGTGTGATGGATCTCTCTCTGGAGGCCCAGTGCTGCAGCTCTGCCTGGGGGCTCTTTGGCTCCATCATCAACACTAAAGCCCCCTGTAGGTTGAACAAGACGGCTCCCAGACCACTTAATCCCCAAGACAAACCTCCATGATGTATTTATATTTAAATTGATCCTTCTTTTTTTTTTTTCTGCTAGGGAGCCAAAGCATGCTTCCTGCGTGACATCCCCTTCTCCGCCATCTACTTTCCTGTTTATGCCCACACCAAGGCGATGCTGGCAGATGAGGACGGAAGCCTTGGGGCTCTCCAGCTGCTCACTGCTGGAGCCATCGCAGGTAACACACATCTGGAGAGCTCAGCGTCTGTGGGGATTAAATGAGGGAAGTGTCACATGTTCTGCTCCAAGAAAGGCGTTTTTGTTTCCTCTTCGTTGCGCTTTCTTCATCTATTGTATCTCCAACAACTGTAAGGGTATTTTTTAAATTATTGGTTGATTGTTTATTTGATTACATTTCAGAAAAGAGTTTAAAAAGCTCAATTTATTTTCAAAGAGTCCAATTTTGCATCTTTAAATTCCATATGTTCTTCTTCCAACAGCCCTAGGCCTAAATATACTTAATTTACTATCATTTATGAGAAGGAAAAGCAGCAATCCCTCACATTTGGGAAGCTGAAACTGGTGACTATATGGCCTTTTATCTCGAAGAAAGACAGGAATGAGCTGGTTATATTCAAAATAATTGTATTTTCTCTATTGTAAGCTCCTAGCTGTATAGAAAATGTGTATATAGTGCTTTTGTCATATCCCACTATAGCACAATACCCATTTCAAGCCCTGCATGATGCTACAGCAGGGATGTGAGGATGTGACACCCATCTGTGCATAGTGAGAGTGCTTCATTACGTGTGTTGTGAAACGTCTCCTCAGGTATCCCGGCGGCTTCGCTGGTGACCCCTGCTGATGTCATCAAGACCAGGCTCCAGGTGGCGGCCCGAGCCGGCCAGACGTCCTACAGCGGGGTGATCGACTGCTTCAGGAAGATCCTCAAGGAGGAAGGTTTCAAGGCGTTTTGGAAGGGCACAGGAGGTAGGTACACACACACACACACACACACACACACACACACACACACACACACACACACACACACACACACACACACACACACACACACACACACACACACACACACACACACACACACACACACACACACACACACACACACACACACACACACACACACACACACACACACACACGACTGGGAGATGAGGCTCGCTGTGGTGGCTGTAATATTTAGAATACAAAGAAAGAATATTAAATCCTACATTGTAATTCTCTAACTGTCGTCCATTAGCTCGAGTCTGCAGATCTTCACCGCAGTTTGGTGTAACCCTGGTGACCTACGAACTGTTACAGAGATGGCTCGATGTGGACTTTGGAGGACAGTAAGTACTCTAACCAAGTAACTGAGTACATTTACTCAAGTACTGTAGCCTGCTTGAGTTCAATGATGTAGTAATTTACTTGAGTACTTCCATTTCCTTTATACTTCTACTCCACTGAAATCAGAGGCAAAGATTGTACTTTCTACTCGACTAAAATGATCTGATAACTGTAGTTACTTTGAAGATTTAGATTTGAAGCACAAACTATTAAGAAAGTATTTATCATGTATTATAAGGTTAGGATTCATTTATGAATTGGAGAAATTCAGACCCTACCTGACAGTATATACAGTGAAACAAATGCAACAAAAATACATAATAATATTATTGATTAGGCTGTTGTGCAGAGTAATTACTTTCACTTGGGCAGCTTTTACTTGGTACTTTAAGTATTTGTACTTAAGGGAGATTTTGAATGCAGGACTTTAACTTGTAACAGAGTACTTTTATAATTCAGTATTATTACTTTTACTGAAGTAAAAATCTTGTAGATCATCTTGGCCCACCTCTGAATTCAACCCCGTCTTCACAAGTATCTACCTCTCGTCAGTTTGGAGAAGTGTCTCACCCTAACCTCTCTCTCTCTCCTCAGTCGCCCTGCCGGCTCTGAGCCCACTCACAAACCGACAGTCCCCGACCTCCCCTCGGTGACGGCGGACCACGTGGGCGGCTACCATCTGGCTGCTGCAACCTTTGCCGGCGTGGAGAGGAAGTTTGGTCTGCACCTGCCCAAGTTCAAGCCTTCTGGAGAGGAGACAATCAAACCAGCGGTGCCTGTAACGGAGCCGGAAGCTTCATAAAGCTCACCGTGGTTAGGTTTACTTTAGGTTTTCCCTCAAATGATTTTATTGAGCCACGTTCTAATGCAATTGAGCGATTGTCTTACTTTGAATGCTGCATGAGTATGGCTTTATGGCATTTTCTTTGCACTGCTTGCACAACTTTACTGTACATATTGTACTTCTGCACAGAGGAACATTATGGCATGACGAAGGATTGTAACTGCGCTTTCTGGTGTGCAATAGCTGTGGTGTGCATGTGTCAGTTAAACCTCAGAGACATAAGGATGTACAGATGTTTTCAAAAGTGTTCATTTTGAAATCATGACTAAGGAGTCGGAATATAATTTAAATGTATTTATTGTATTTTATTGAAATAAATCATTCAAACTGTTTGTTTCTACTGTGTGAAAAGTACATTATCCATTTTGACACCAACATTTGAGATTCTTCAGGAAACAAACCGTCTCATTTCGGATCCTGTCACACGACTTCCCCGAGCAGTTACAGCATACGTGATCATCTTCTTAGGCATTAAGGATATTCCAACTATCTCCAGTCTAACCAGCTACACTGATTGAGAGAAAACTGGTGCCGTATAGAACAAAATAGAAGGTAGAAATACATCTGGATTTATTTTTACAATCAAGTGAATATAAGTTGATCAAGTCTAAAAGGAACGGAGATGACGACATGGTTCTACAGTTATAAGTTTACATTCCCCGTGTTAAGATGTGATTGCTTTACTACAACTTTGGTGGAAATGGGGCTTAGCTATGAGTGTTAACTATTATGGATTGAAATAAATCTCAAAATGAAGGCTGATGAATGAAGACAGGTGGGGTTTTACAATCAAAAGTTTAAAAGGAAAGATTAAGGCATCTTGTTGAAAGAAAGACAACTGGTTTGTGTTTTGTGAGTATGGCTTCGTGTTAGTGTCTGACGTCGATATCCCTGACGCTCGTGTTAATCCGAGGAAGACGGTCCAGCTAACTGAGAAGGCCTCCAAATAAGCAGGTGTAAGGAATCAAAAGGTCTTTCTGATCAAAACATTTTTTCCTCCGCTCATGTTGTCATCACATCTTTTCCTGGGGCTGACGATAACAAGTACGCCTCTGGTCCCTTAAACATCACCTCTGTGGCGAGCAGATCAGGCGGCCAGACGCTGAGCCGCCAGCTCCTCCGCATCGTCTCTGTTCTCGTTGATCTCTGCCAGCGTGCGGACAAAGCGGGTCCACTCGTCGTTTCGTGGAACCGCAGTTTGCTGGGGGGGGAACAAAAGAGGCATGAATAAAACCTCAAATACAGGAAAGATCACAGCTAATGCTTCATGCGCTCGTTAACATGGATAATAGCCTATTTACATAAACAAAATTAAATCCACTACACGCTGACAGGATGAAAAGAGGCATAAAAGCATATTTGATTATTACTTAAAGCACACTCAGAAGAAAAGAGTCCTGCCATCTCACCTCTCCGACATCATACACAAGAACTCGTCCATCAGAGTCTCCCACGGCGATTTCTTTGCCAGAGTGAGCCCACCTCACTCTGTTCAGAGCTGGGTTACCCTCCACTGTGACGCTGGCGGTAGGAACCTAAAACAACAAAAAACAACAATGAAAAGAGTGGAAAAATGCTCTGCAACCTTTAGTTTTATAATTCTGTTTAGCAAAGAAATAAGAAAAATATCTAAGACTTGAGAGTTCCTTCCCTTTAGATGCAAAGGAGAACTGAAAATGGACGTGGTGAAACACGTGTGTGCTGTCAGTAAGAGTGTGATACCTCCGTGTCGTTGTTGAGGTTCCACAGGTCCAGATGACCCACTCCGTCCACACAAGCAAACAGAGCAGGGTGAGTCGGAGACCACATGACGTCATATACGTAATCCGAGTTATCTTCAAATGAGTACAGCGGCTTGTTGTTCTGCACAAAATAAAGGGGGAAGAAAGATAAAGAAACATGACCTTAAAAGTTTATATATTTCCTGCATTGTCTATGTATACACACAAGATATAACAATTTGATATACTTACAAACCTACTTAATGGATACAAAATGTGACGATGATTTTAGCTCAAGGAATAGCTTCATCACTTTGGTCCAGTGAAAAGCTTTTTGACAAATATTTGATGGACTTTTTTTATTTCACACCTGGTGCGTGTATGCTTTCCACTTTGCGTCGCCATCAAGTGTCAAATATTTAGCTTTATGAACAAATACCTGCAATTCTGTTGTCCTTCTTATCAGCTGTACTTTGTTTTGAATGCTTTTTGTTAGCAATGACTGTGCTCCATAGCAGTAAGCTTGCTTAAACAGTATTAGTCTCACAGAGCTAGTAGTGGCTTTTCAATTTGAGGAATATAATTATTTGTTGGGGTTTTGATCCTGAAGTATACTGCAGTTACCATGAACAAATGCTGGAGGATATAAAACCTTGTAGAGACACAAAACACACCGAGGGAGGAAACGTTTCCCTTCACACCGGTCTTTTCGTTTTTCAGCTAAATCAAATAATCCTCAGTATGTCAAGACGTTGCTTTTACCTTGGTGCTCCACAGCTTGACAGTCCAGTCGAAGGAGGAGGTGACAAACAGGTGGGAGAAGTCCAGAGGCCCTGCAGCTGTGTGGCAGTCGATCCCTGTGATGGGCCCCTGGTGGCCCTCAAACATCTCGCTGATGCCCGCTTTGCTGCAGAGCACAGACAAGATTAAGTGGCGAGTGCAAAACATACAGACTAAAGTGCTAAACCACCTAAATTAAGAAGGGGAGAGTTGTTCTCGTCATAGATTAAAGGAATAACATTTAAAGGTGGGGTAGGTAAGTTTGAGAAACCGGCTCGAGATACACTTTTTGTTATATTCCATGGAATGCTCTTAACATCCCGATAGCAATGAATATCTTGTGCTTTGACAAAAAATCCATAAAAAAATATCATCTGTGGAAGCCGTAATACTGTAAAAAGCACGACCAATCATTTTAGCCGGTCCGGATAAAATAACTGGATGGCCTACTTGCCTGTCAGCCTTCCATCTGTGCACAAACTTATCTCGTGCCCTCATTGGTCATGTGCGCGTTCGTGTGTGTTGGAGGAGGGGCTCTGTAAGGAAGTAGCAGATTTCTTCCGGCTGTGTATTTTCAAATTCTAGCGCACTCGAGCTGGTTTCTCCAAAATGACCTACCCCACCTTTAATGTATTTTAAAATAGCTTGTTTTCCTTTAAATCGAGCATGAGAAATGTTTTTTTAAATCATCTGGTGTTCGCCTTTAGTCGTTTGAATCACAAGTCCATAAATTGCATTAAAGGAAAAAAACAAAGAAATGTTAACAGTTGACACTGTTTTGTTAATTCTCTCTATTCTCTCTATATTAGCACAGAAGAAGACCCCCCCCCGGACGTATACACATTAATCATTTACTTATATGGTGTGATTACCAGCAGGGTGGCAGAAGTGCTGCAACATCTCACCCACATGTTGCAGAGCTGTTACCCAACTGATGCTCTGATAATTAATGTAGAGAGGTAAATACTCAGCATGAGTGATGCTTATGCATTATTAACTGCGATGAGAGTATCATACCATTGTAAATGAGCTGGAAAATTATTCCGCCAATTACAGAGGTGATGCTGCCGTGCAAAACCTAGCAGCTATCCCCTCTCTGCGGTCTCCGGGCAAACTGCAGGACGTTTACCGTGGCAGCTCTGATTTAAGCCACATTTCTCTGCTTCTTCACCAGAGGACCAAACACCATGAGGGGAGCCCCGGTGTGTTAGATGAGAACATTGTGAGATGAAGTGCAGTTTTAATTCTACCCGGGAATACGGACTGTAAACAAACTCTCTCACCCAGCGAAACGTACTGAGGAGGAGAAAAAAGGACAGGGAAAAAATGATTTGTTTCCCCTGCATGTGTGCCCTGTTTATGTTGAGCGACCTTTGCAAACATAACTGACAAGCGGAAAAGAAAAACAGGAAGACTGGGCAGGAGTGAAACCTCAAACAGCAGGAGATCAAGTGTTGGATTTGCGTTGCACTGGGAAGTGAGTGGGCTATATTTATTTGACACTCGGACCGAGGTGGGCCCAACAAGCCGCCTCAGTTTCCTGGACCGCGGTTTGCTTATGAACACACCTTCCATGACGACACGACATGTAGACGGAGCCGTCCTCGCTGCCCACCGCAAAATTGTTGACATCTCCGAGAGGGAAAGACATGGAGGTGACAGCTACAGCTTTGGACTGCTTGAACACCAGCTCCATGCTGTCCTGTGGAGGCGAGGCAACACGGAACAACATGTTTAACAAGCTCCCCCGCTCACGATTTATGTTAACACAAACTCTGCCAAGCACAACCTATAAAATTCACTTGACAGTTTATTAATGCATATTCTAAATTCAACTCGCACGTTATACAAAAAAAAGGGAAGTTTGACATTGAGGTCTTGGCAGCACAGATGAAATGACACAGCTAGCAAAGTTAATTTCCTTGAAAGTGAAAAATGAGTTGTAGAAAAAGAAAATATGGTTGAAGTCGGTGGGATATACCAAACGAAGGAGCCCAGCCAATATGTTTGACATTTAGCATGAAATGGACAGGAAGTGAGTGGAATGAAAGACTAAGGAGACAGACGTTACACAGAAAGAAAAAGCTAAGCTCAAACTGTGATGTATTATTAACTAAGCAATTCAATTTATGGTTAAAACTTTAACACCGGGCCGTTAATGTCAGTCAAAAAATAGTCCTCTGACCACCCATAGGAAAGAACCCACACACATGTATACAGTATTAAAATATTGGCTATACATAGAATAAAATACACTTTATTGTAGAGCAAAGGGAGGAAAATCTCACTCAGGACAATATTAACATAAAAAAATAAACAAAAGATAAAAACGATATGTCTCTGTCATTCATTTAATATCCAGGATGACAGCCTACACTGCTTTGTTTAAAATAACTGTAGTTATTGACCACATTATTTGCATTTGCAATAAATAAAACCTTTGTAAAATTGGATGTTACCTGTGGCTGAGAGAGCATGTCCAGACTCCAGGAGCAGATCTTGCCGTCGGTGGAGATGCTGATCAGGTTGTGGGCGTTCTGGGTGCCGACCACATTCACACAGTACACAGGGTGCTGCGAAGAGAGTGAGAGGGAGTCATTTTTACTTTTCTGCTCCATGAGAATAAAGCATGATCTCACTGTGTCGGTCGTTTAGAGTACCGTGTGAGCCGCTGCTGACAGGGGGGTCCTCTGCACCGGGGTCCTCTTGTTGCTCCGGTTGTCCCACAGCACGATCTGTCCCGAGTACGTACCCCCCACCACAACGTTGGGGTGGAATTTGGCAAAAGCAGCCGACATTACAGCAGACTGTCAGAGAGAGGGAAAGATAGAGGAAGAGATGGGACAGTTAGAGTCTCCAGTGATTACAAAAACATGTTTATAATGAATGTCTGTGCTGTCATTCATATCAACTCTTTACATGCAGGTTACAACAAGCTAGTTCAAGGACTCAAATATTTGATCTCATCCTTTGTGTGGTGTGATAATAAACCTTGAATAAACCTAAAGAAACGTTGCCAAGCCATAAGGAGGTCTGCCTGCTCCAGCAACGCCAGATATCCTATGGCATGGGGTTATGAGGTTATGAGGTAACCCTAATTGAAGGAAATTGGGAATAGCTGGAGGGACAAGCTATTGCCAAGTATTTTTTCAATTGTTTTGTGGTTTTATCAAAATTCTCCTGCAGAACTTGATAATCTAATTATTATTCCTCTTGTAGAATTGCTAAATTAGGCAATAAAAGTCTCGAAATGACGGGAAACTCTCCGCCATCTTGCCCTCTTTGGCACAACTCTTTATTTTTAGCAGGAGGCAAACCATTAGTCTTCGCCCGGCAGCAGAACTCTAATGCTAAGTGTCTGGAAGATATAATCACTGATAGGAAAATAGTTTCATATAGTACTCTGAAAGGAGCAGTATAACATAAATGATACCTCATTCTTGCCTAACCAACAAATATACTAATAATAATAATTAAATCCAGAATGCATACATTGGTGCTAATGGCAACAGAGACTGGTATTGATGATAAGTTATAGGATATTGTTCCCAGGAAAAGACTATTATTACATGTTGTTGTGTTTTAGTGTATACTGACTTGTAACCCTATCTCTATCTCTGAGTAGTCTTAATATACTGGTATTGACTAGAGTCGGGATTTTAAAAACAATTAAATATTGATATCATCTTAATAATACACATGTGAAAATATGCTGAAAAATATCCATTGCCTCTTTAAAAAGATCTCTTTATTTTAATTTGTTCACTTTTTATAGTTTTGGTTACGGTTTAGAGAGGTGTGGGGATGAAAGATATAAGGTGCTTAATTTGTTCTGGTATTTAGGATTCCTTCAATGATACTAATGAGACACTAGCAGCTGAGTGTATGCACCCCCCCTGAAATGGCTTTCTCATTCAGAACAATGAATACTGCATTCATTTACTCAGAAGATAGAGAGAGTCATTTTTAGAGGCAAAGAACTTGGTAGGGTTTTCCACTGAGCTAACTGACCACCATGCACACTTGTGTCCAATCAGGTTCTGGTTGCGGTGCATTGCTGTGTTTCATATCAGCAACAAGTTGGCATAATGAGAATATGGAAAACATCAAACTTCATCTCAAAGTCAGAGCTGTGTGTGTTCGCTCTTTCCCAAAAACCTTTCATCACTCATGCCTCACACTGCAAATAAAACAAACCACGAGGCTGGATTATTATTAAACTTTTGATTTACATCTTGGCAAAACATTTTTTTCTAACGGGACTTTTCTTGACAAAAGTTGTGACGCATAGTTTGGGAATAGCTCGTTATGAGTGGATTTTAAGGCGCGGAGAAATGTGCCTTCACACTTCTGTTCAGTTTTATTCATCTGAGCAATATGCCTTCATCTACATCCGCTGTGGCGGCGGCAACATGTGGTTCTACTCAACTTGTCTTGCTGAGGCAGCCTCGGGGCAGGCAGTATAATAAGGCTGGGCAGAGCGGAGGAGCTGCTCTCCCTCTCTCTGAACACAGAGCCCTTGTTTGGATGCACATGATAACCGGCCCTGCCCCACACACTTAATGCTGCTGCAGCACTGCTCAGATTCTCCTGCACCACAGGTCTTCTCCAGCGCCTCGTGAACATGTGTTTATGGATGAAAAGTGGAGGTGGATGCCAGTATGGTGAACTCACAATGTGGATGAAGGGGTGTGGGAGGAGGAGAGAAGGGGGGAGCAAACTGGGGATGGTTGGATGTGTTCCAAGTTTGTCAAGGAACGAGACCCCCGTGGGGAGAGAGGTTGGAGACAGAAAGCAGAGAGGCTTTTTTTCTTGGGGTACCTGACAGTGGAAGACGTACTCCGGTGTGGCCTTCTTGTACTTCATGTTCCACACTAAGGCCACGCCGTCTGGCTCGTGAGGAGCCTCCTCGTTGTTGTTGTATGAGGCAAGCAGCAGTTCAGGATACTGGTGACAGAGAAAGAAGAAAAAAAATCAGCCTAAATGAATGTCGGAGGAGGCAGACGTGCCCCCTAGGCTTGGCTCCTTGTGGGAAAGCCTTGCCTGCCCTGTGTGGAGCTTATGAATGCCTTTAAGAATGAGTAACCTTTCCTCAAGATTTATTGCTCGGTTAAATGTCCCTACCCGCCCTTAGGAACTTTGGTTAGTTGTTATATATTAGTTTTCTTCATAATTTTACCCAAAAGTTATTGTTCTGAAAACTAACAACTGTGACTAAAACAGAGCAACTAATTGAACATCTAAAACCCACTGAACCACATATTAAAAACACGGGTGGATAATGACTCCAGAAACCCAGATGTAAACAAACCATTAACCTCTGCCGCTTCTCGTGCTCGAGATTTACAGTTTGAGAAATCTGAATTTCCGATCACGAGGGTATGGGTATTGCTCTGAGCTGGTAAACACAGTGAACAAAGAGTTGGTGTTCAATCACTGTCAGAAGCCATTGCAGAATCATGCATTAAATGACCTTAGACACCAGAGGAAACAAATCATTATGGCTCCCGACTGAGTGACAATGTGTGGGACATAACTTACTTCTCCTGGGGGACTTGTGGCCAAAAGTAAATGCTGTCAAACTCGAGACATGTAATCATAAAGCATTATGGCTGAGCAAAGCTAAGTTGTTTCAACAGCCAATTAGCAACACGAATGCACATATTGCTTCTGTTTTAACACACGTTTTAGGCAAATCCTTTTGATATTTGCACACAACTTCCAAATGTTTTTTTTTTAAGAAACAATTTAAACTATTGGTTTATTTATAGAAAGTTGTCTTAAAAAGTGACCTGCAGGGACCAGTCTAGGCAGGTGACGACGCGATGTTTGGACCAGCGTTCATCCATGAACTGCCTGTTGAGGGACAGCTTTGTACCGGCCTGGATTTCACTGGGGAAAACAAAGCACCACAAATCAATAAAAACACTCTTTCAGAAACCAATTACCGTGTTTTCTTAAGTACTTGTCTAGTTCTACAATTATTACCCCTCCTTCTCCTCCAGGTCACGACCGCTGTAGTCGAAGAAGAGGTCCACATGCTCCGACAGAGCTCGCTCAATAATGCGAGTGCTCTGGTCAAAGAAATTCGCAAAATCTTCGGAGTGCAGGATCTGGAGTTTTTCCTCCTCTGTCAGCTCGTGGGGGGCTGCTGCACAGAAAAGTACAGACACACTGAACTGCTGATCACTGCCATTAGGATGTGGCATGTGATGCACTGCTTCACAGGAATAGAAACTTCAGTGCAACCATTATTATGAAAATCACTAGTAAAACTGAAGTGGCTAGATTTCTATTACAAGTATGCAACATCAGTGGTGATGGAATACCTTCCTCCTCCTCTTTCTGGTCCGGTTTCTCAGTCTGAGTCTCCACTGCTGCTTCGACTGGAGCACTTTCCTCCTCTTCTTCTTCTTCTTCCTCAGCTGAGAAGAAAGATAACTATGTTAAACACTAGAAAAATACAAAGAGTCAAGTTGTATACAGTTTCTAGATTACTTCATTTTATTATCAATAATAGTAGTTTTTCAGAATACTTTTTAATCCAACAAATCTGTAACTCATAACTTTGAATTTTTCCTAATACATTACTCTTGTGTTGTATATTCACAATTAAAAATACACAACGTTACATTTTTCGAAGCTTTATACATTCTTAGGGGTCTATTTTTGAAGGGGTCCAAGGAAAAATAATTAAGAATATTTTACACTTAAAAAGTAAAAATCCAATTTAAGTAACAACATTCTCGTGACAAGCGATCATGCCTCCATACAGACGTTTCACACCTTTTGCTCACTACGTCTCTCACATCAATTATTTTCCTTTTTCAATAAAAAGCTCCACCCGGTGATTATGGGCACGACCAAAGACTGATTTTGTATCTCTGCCTTGCATTTGTTTGGTTTGTCAGCACAATGTCTCCTTTCAAAAAAGGGACCTGCTCCTCTAAAGCAGGGAAGTTTGCCATTTGTGTTAAAGGGACACAGCGCAGCGGGTGTCTTGTTGTCAAAGGGACCCCTGTCTTTCCTAACTGTTAATGAGACTCTAGCCATTCAATAGAAAGTCTAGCTGACAGTGTAGCCGTTTCCTCTGTGTCCCAGTGGCAGGTTGCCCCCTTCCAGGCCACAGGGCAGCGGGGCAGAGGGTGTGGAGCAGCTGCACGGACCCGTCCCATTGGTCCGGCCAGATGACAGCATGGTGCAAAAGCAGATGGTGATGCTGGGATTGTCTTTGCTCTTCAGAGGTGGCATGGGGATGGCACAGAGGTTTTCCGCCTGGCTGCCTCGAGACAAGCTTCTCCCTGAACAGCAAGCCCGAGCAATTACCATCCTAGCAGGAGGTCCTGCAGCTCCCATTCAACCTCAGAGAATGTACAACAAAATACAGGCCCGACCAGCTGGCAAACTGCACACCGGTTCTACCTCAAAGAAGATGAACACGCTTTTTCAAAACACATCTCTTAGAGACGGTATATAGCCTATGCTTTCAGTGTAAAAAAAACAATAATAATAGCAAAAGCAGGACAAAACAGATTCATGGAGAGAAGGGGAAATACTCGCCTGGTTCCTAGAAGCGTTTATCTTAGTATGAACCTTATAGTTAATCTGAGATAACAGCACCACATGCCAGAATTTCCTTCCTACGGAGATAATCTAAATGATAATGTCATCCGTCACTTTGTCCGCAAAGTGATTTATCCCCTTTCTCAGATGGAGGTTTAGGGGAAGAAGGTTATTGGGTACACTGATGAGTTTACAGAACCGGGTTGATGACACAAGCCATTTCAATGTACGGCCATACTCTGCAACCAACAGGAGAAGGTTCAAATCTTTCCTTTCAAGGGCCTCAATCAGGCTTAAAGGAAAACAGTAATCACTGTCTTTCAGCGAGTCCCGGCCGTGCTCGTCAGCCCTCTCCCTGGTGAGGCAGCCAGAGCAATCAACCTGCCAGGCATTAGGAGCGGATAGACAATCTGAAAATAAAGGGTATAATGCACCTGCCAGCCAAAATGGCCATTTGGAGAAAAGCTAGTGATCCTGGTGACCCCGCTGTGGATGTGTAGGGGGGGAAGTAGGGTCGAAACGATGGTGGGGGGGGGAGTGGAGGAAGGGAGGGGGGGGGGGGGGTCTGCATTTAACAGAATTCACCCGGATCACCGATGTCCCTTACACTGACACCTCCTCTCAAAGCAGCCTCAATTATGGCTTTTGTTCCACTTAAGAAATAAAAAGCTTTTTTTCGGGAGCTGGACAGGAGGGGGGGGGGGGGGGGGGGAATAATCACAGGTCTTAGTGAATGGACAATACATTAATGCAAATACAGCCAGTGATGTTCAAAGTATAAAATTAAACGACCTTTGCTCCCCGCTGCAGGTGTCTTCCACTTTCTATATGTCCCCACACAAAAAGGGTCTGACTTCAGCACGTGCAGCAGGGTTTTCTCTATCCCTGCCTCTATAAACACCAATAACTACACAATACGAAACTCTACCAATACCCAAGCAAAAAAATCCCAGACCCAGTTTTTTCAGAGACTGAGATCAACCATTTTCCATTTGCCACACCAACATTTGGGGTTGTGTGTTGTAGTGTGGCAAATGTCAAATTGCTGCAAGCCAAATAAATGTCAGATGTCCATCAATCTGATAACACTCAGTCGTCTGTGAAACAGGAGCATAGTGTTTTCAACTTCTTCAACATGGTTACACATGTCTAACACTGAGGTCTAAAGATCACACTCGGCACGACGGTAAGCAGAAATCCGAAACCAGCACTATCTTCCTTTAAAAACAGAGTCTGTCACAGGTAATATAAATACTCATAACATTGAAAAATACTCATAACATTGAAACATTTAAATAAATTGGTTGTAAAGGTGCATATAATTCACTATAAACTCCAAAAGAAATCAGATTTGTTCCAAATTGTCCATAAAAAATTCAAAGCTACTGTATGAAAGAGGGATACAATGGATTAGATTAATAGATTTAACAGTGGTAATAATCAAGTGCATAAAAGCTGACCACGATAACAAGTGGCACTTCAAACAAGAAGGCCATTAAGGGCTTTTGTGATAAAAAGTTCTGACCTGCCACTGAATTCAGAGTGATTAAAACAATCGTATTTAATTAAATATTAGATTTATTAAGCTGCTCTACGTACTTATATTCCTGAGAAAGCCTTTTTAAATGACACACACACACACACACACACACACACACACACACACACACACACACACACACACACACACACACACACACACACACACACACACACACACACACACACACACACACACACACACACACACACACACACACACACACACACACACACACACACACACACACACACACACACACACACACACACACACACACACACACACACACACACACACACACACACACACACACACACACACACACACACATCTTACTCCATAATTACAGCCTCTTGTTGAAGAGTGCATACTGATGCGGCATATTACCTACTAGTGCAGTCTGAGAATACTGCAGCGATGGCACAGATATTCACCAGGGTTATGGCTTGAATCAACACATTCACTAAGAGTACCTACAGACAGAATAGACTAATTCAAATTTTAAAAAGGACACGATGCTGTTCAAAGGGAAAAGAGAAATTCATGTCAAAATTCATAGACATCTGAGAGGAAAAGTAAACAAAGAATGCCAGGTTCATGACGCAACACTGTCCGCATTTATAACAAATCACATAACCCGATGATGCATTCTCTTTGACTGTTCAGGTTTTCTTTGTCTGGGTCAGTAGGGCATGTGATGTTAAAATCTTAAATCTGTTCCTCCCTTCTGCCGGTGTCTTGCACACACTGTGGGAAAACCCTCGGTGAGCAGCAGCCGGGGCACGGCCGCCGCTCCCTCTAATGCCGCCGCCCGCTGACCTTGAGAGTGCCGCGCCGTTGCTTCCTTTTGACAACATGATAAATCGCTCAATCAGAGACCAGGACTGACGCCACCCCACACATCAGAAATGCGCCGAGGGGAGCAAGCCGGGAAGGGGATGCCGTCTCATCGAGTGCCAGAAGTGATGGTGTGAAAATGCACAATGTCACTGAGTGTGTTTTGTTATGTGCCTGTTCGGTGAAGGGAGAAGACAGGGAAGCGAGGGAGTTGATGAAATGATTACATAGTGGCAGAGAGGAGGAAGGGGGTCTCGTGTTGAACAGCTGGCAGGAACCATCGTTGGTTAACACAGTTTTACAATGCCCAGCAGAGTCCAGAGTAAAGAGCGATGAAGAACAGAGAAATGCTCTTCCTCCATCCATAGCTCTGCTCATTGTTTTCCACAGAAGCACACAATTTCATCTTGCTTATGCTGCATGCCACCTGAGGATTTACTCGATGGACATAAGGGAAAAACGACTGACAATCTATGATGGGGATGCAACGATTTATCGATCGAACATTGGCCGATGTTTCCAAAGGCACTAAATAGGGCGACATTCCATAATGTTTATCTGTTTATTGCATCACTTTTGCGACGGCTAAATGCTGGGTTGTTTTTTGTGGTTGGACTGATACCTGTAGCCAGCTGCTGATTTGGAGAAGAATCTTGTGGCTTCATTCAACTCTGGCATGATGTAAGAGCGTAACAGGTGCCGTGCACATGTGTGACTTTTTTATAAATACTAATACAAGTAAAATATGATGTCCCTGTCTTGGGGAAATATCAGCAACAAGTAGGTCAGAATCTTCTGTAGGCAAAACAGAAGAGTTTCAAAGACAGCCCTTTTCATATTTCTAATCCCTTTTACATGTAATTACATTAAAAGCGTTGCTGTTTTATGTAAATACTGATTTTTTTTTTCTTATCGATTAAGTAGTTGTAAAGCAGCCTCAAAACAGCTCTTAAATCAGTACATTTTTAAGAAAACATATTTTTTATTTGAAAGTATAAATATAAAAGATTGTTTCAAAAATGTGTATGATTAAATGTGTGCTCATTTGAAAATTATAATTAAGATGTCTTTGTTCCCAATACAGAAAGGGTAATACAAATAAAAATAAACACAAGACCTTGTAAGAATATATTGCTATGAAACCTTAAAAAACTAAATAAAGATTTGAGTGTGCCTCCTGTCATTACATAAATCAACCAAGGATAAGCAGGGCACCCACAAGTATTGCATATTTTATGGAACATGTGTTCAACATGTGGTGTTAATAGCAGCCCAGATATTCTCTTTTGCCAGCCGCATGAAAGCCCCAGCGCAGCAATTACATACATATCGACATGCTTCAGTGGCAATAAGCAGTCGTATGCGCAGCGCTTCTTATCTTCCCCCTCAATCGCATTTCTCCTTCCTGTCACTGCTTTTCTCATCCTGCTCATTAATTATACCGGAGCGGAGTTGGTTGTGAGGTTCAGAGAGCAGGGCTTGTCTGAATTTAATCTCTCCTTCGACTTCTTATGTTTCCTGGGCCTCATTCTTCCTTTACTTTCATCTAAAAATCAAACATTTTCCACTTATTGTTCACTTCCGGTTCCCACTTGTTCTCACATACATCCCCCAAGACCCCCTGTTATTAATTCTGCACAAAACAACGCTTTTGTAATTAAAGAAGCTGTACATTTAAATAGACCACTTCATCCACATCCATTGTACCAATATGTGAGAATCACCTTCTTTTTGCTGAGTCACGACAGGTGTCTGGGTCTCTTTAGTGTAGGACACAGTCTCACGTGGAGGGAAGTCCACTTGTGTGACTTTGGCCATTCCCAGTTTTGGAGTTCCTCGCCTAAAATCACAGAAAAACTCAAGCTTTGCACAGCACAACAAAAATCATACAAAGCATCTGCTATTATTGTTCTTATATTTTTTTGTACAACAGTTTTCACGTATTCTTAGCAAGTGGAAAAAAAGTAAGTAAGCAGATGAGTGTTTCATGGGATGGCATAGATTGCAGAATAGTGTTACAACCCGTGTGAATCAATTCAAAGGTTTTGTCTGAGCACTCTTGCATGCAGACTTTTTTTTTTCCTGGCCTGCATTAACCAAATAATGACTCATGCCATAGATTGAGAGAAGGGAAAATGACCAGGAAAGGAGAGAAGAGAGTGTCCAGTACCCCAGCTCAGAATCAGAGTGAAGTTGAAGAGTGGACGGGTCAGAGTCCCAGTGCAGAGTCCTGGTTAGTGTCACAGCAACAAGGCAGCATTAGTGAGAGAGACAAGCGGGCACACATGAGGAGAGGAAATAAAGTTAGCATTATGGCACACAACATGCTGATTGGATCCAAGGTAACTAAACACAATTGAAACTGAATCTTTTTTGTTTTTCAGTTCAAAAATAAATCTGCCTGCACAAAGCTCAGATAAGAATGTCTGCTTAAAATGCACGGACACACAGCCCCTCAGAGTGAGATGACACAGGGTGTAATGTGCAGCCTGCGGGGCTGATACAGCCTGAACTGTGTCACACCAAAGGCTCTGAGTGTGGTGCAGACAGAGAGGGAGGGAGAGAGAGAGAGAACCCTCAGGGAGAAAACATGACCTCCATGTGTGTAGGAAATGGCCATGCTGGTGAGGGAAATGAGTCAACACGTAGGGGGAACAGCTCCCTCGGCCTGATGGGACACTGGGGGAGCTTGAGTTTCAGCCCAGGGAAGGGGCTCTAATTAGGGGTTAAGAAGTCCCCCAGGCATCACAGCAGCCTGCTGTTTTATTGTTAATTTAGGATCGTCCTAATTCAACGGCACACAAATTAAATAAACATGCACTCAGTTGGTATAAACTCGTCATCATTCACTGTAATGGTATGAGACTTTCTAAAGGATTTTAGTCGTGCTCAGTGGAATCATGCTTTAAATATATTCATAGCCTTTGTCTGGAGTTGAAAGTGATGCAAAGCGAAAACAACTAATATGCTGTACAACACATCTGCAATGTATAAGCTGCTTGAGAGGCGGTGACAAGGACGCTGACATCACATTCTTGCAGGCATAAGCATAACTGAGCACATAAAGAGCACACAAATATTTTTTTAAGATGACATATAAAGCTCAACAAAGCACCAAACATTAAAAAAAAAAGTGCCTTAGGTGGAGATAAAGCAATTCATCCCTCATAAATAATGATGTTTGCATTGTTTCCACACTTGTAATGTACTGTACTAGAAGTGAGGAAAGAATGTTATTACTCAAACTGTTGCTGAGAAATGCGTCTCTGTCTGTCTGTGTGTCTGTGTGTGTGTGTGTGTGTGTGTGTGTGTGTGTGTGTGTGTGTGTGTGTGTGTGTGTGTGTGTGTGTGTGTGTGTGTGTGTGTGTGTGTGTGTGTGTGTGTGTGTGTGTGTGTGTGTGTGTGTGTGTGTGTGTGTGTGTGTACCTGGGTCCCACGGCTCCATCAGAGTCTTGGCTCCCTGCCTCACTCGGTGTGCCCGCCGATTTGGGAGTTGGCGAGATGGGAGGAGGGACTACATGGAGAGACAGACAATAATCATCTGTTACAGTACCAGGACACTAAGCTTCTCACAAGAGAGGACAAATACATTTATGCTGAATGTGTCAATCTTAATGTAGATCTCGACATCCTCGACATCAGTGACCAAGAGCTGTATTTGAAATAAAAGCTTTAACAACACTATGATACCTAATTTGCCTTTATTTATGAATATTTAAAATTATACAATAATTTAGAAAAAGACACACAAAACTCTGATGTTTGTCTGTCTCTGATTCTAGTTTGTCTGCATCCTGTGAGACTCTTGAAGATTGTATTATGGATCTCTTCTGCCACCTGCTGTTAGCAACGAGTCAGTGCTCTAACAATCTCCCTCTGAATGAACTGAACAAATATTTAGGCAGTATACACTGGTATATTATTTACAAGTAGTTGTGAGTAAGGTTGCAGTTATACATTAAATACATGTTTTCCCTTTTTTCCAATTGGTTAGTATGTGTCTTTATCACATTTCTGAGAATGAAAATCTTAATTCAACAAAAATGACTCCAATGAGACATTGACACTTTATACTCTGTCCCTTGTGAACAGCATGAAAACAAGCACAACATATTCTGTTGTTGGACCCCAATTATGAAAAAGATAATAATTACTACTAAGCCGATCAGACTATTATGGAAATTAATATTCCAGTAATATGCACGAGAACACTGATGTTGTAAACATGCAAGTGGCTGTTTGTTACAAAATAAGAGGCATGTTAAAAAAAATCCCCCTAAAACAGAAAAATTGAATATAAGTTTGAAAGTTAATTTATTCAATGACTGTTTAAATATTCACATTTACCCCTTGGTTGTTTCTGAGCCTTTCAGTCTGGTCTTTAACAATTCAAACATAGGATTAGCTGTACTGAGGTCAGCTGACTAGCCAGTAAAGAACATTCCACTGTTTAGCTATAATATATCTGTTGTTATAAATCATAATCCTACTTACTGACATAGAATAATAAATGCAATACATGTGAACACCCTCAAACCCCAGTCAAAGAGCCAAATAACGGTGTAGGCCCTTCCTATAAAATAATTGCAATGTCTGTGAGATATAATGGAAAATGAGGTACTGTAAATGATTTGTTTGTAAAAAAGGTATTAAAGATTATATATGAAACGGGATGTATGAGAGTACAATCCACTGAGTAATATAATACATACCAGCAGGAGTATCTTGGGTTATGCCCATACTCTGTAGCATAGCCTCCGTCTCACGTCTTTTTTTCTCCAGGTCTGTATCATCCTGGTGATTTGCAGCATCTTTTAATTGGTCCGCCTGGAAACAGATCAAGGCATCAACCATTAATGCAATTCTCTAAATACCCACCTTACATTACAGATCACAAAGTGTGAATACCTTCAACTTGTTGATGTGTTCTCATTTCTAGCTCTGTGAGACTTGTGTACATTTTAAAAACCAACTACCTCACTAATTTGCATTGCAATTAAAGGTACTGCCGGATTGTTATTGCAAATAATGTCCAAAAATAGAAAATGCCAAGTGCAGTAACACTTAATAAATTGATGTAATGTAATGCCTATGAACAAAGAACAACTTTGTGTATATGTAAATGTTTGTGCCAAAGATTGTACTTGTCAATAACCTTGTGTTGGAGGTGTGGATTGTTTCTACCTTTTCAAGACCATTAGGCAATGTGGAAAGGTTTTATAAAGCTTATCCCTATCTAAGACATTTATTTTGTTACAAATAGTGGCCTTAAAATATATCTTGCAGCATGTAGATGACCAAAAAATCACACAAATTAAGTGTAGCAGTTAATGAATTTGCTTTTGAATTGAAACGAGATGTTGCAGTGCTCACACTGAGCCACTAAGGTTTTGTTGCTATTTATTCTACATACTCATTTTTACATTTAATACCAGAGAACACTCAAAGCATTTACAAAATATTAAACATACCGCTTGCTTCTTGCGCTCCTCCTCCTTCCTTTTCTTCTCCTCTCTGATTTGAGCCAGGCGTTGCTTCTTCCTTTCAAGCTCTGCTTTCAGCTCACTTTTGTCAGACATGATGCCACGGCTGTGAACAAACAACATATTCTGGTTTGTCTTTGTGTTCCATAAAGAATGCATTCAGAAATATTATATTTAAAATACTTAGTACATCAGACACAAACAAGCATTAAGGCGTCCTGGAGGTGGAGTAGCCTCCTTGTGTTTGTACTGTCTACTGAACAGTGGTGAAATGTATATTTATTCACCCTGTACATAAGTACAAATCTGAGGTACTTGTACTTAAGTAGCCTATTTAAATGGAATGCTACTCTATACTTCACTACATAAGTAATGAGGTAAATATTGTACTTTTTACTGTATTTCAATTGTCTGACAGTTACTATTCAGATGAAAAATGTTCATACATTTGTATTTGTATTGTCCAGTGAAAAACAATGTGTTGTATTTAAAAACCCCTTTTAAAAAGCATTCTCAGAAAGCTCTTCAACTATAATGTATTGATGTAAACCATACACAAAAGGGCACAATAAATGCTTTTAATACATGTTGCTGATAACACTTTTAAGCTGTTGTAACAGTACTTTCACCTTAATCAAGCATCTCAATACTTTTCCAACCACCAGAACTGAAAAATAGTGGGTTCAGGAAACAAAATGCTTCCTATTATTAGTCCACCGTCTCCTGACAGCTGATGCTCTCAGCTTCAGTACCACCTTGCACAGCAGTGGAGACAGCTAGCTAAAATACCTAACATAGCATGACCATCCAGGAGTGTTTTATGTCATCTCTGCAGCTCAGTAAGTCAAACATCCTTGTTTATTGGAGACAAACACTCTCAGTTACTGTGTAACTCGGTTACAACCACAGTCCGGCTGGCTAGTCATTGTCAGCCAGCTAACAGAGAGCCCCACCCTTAGCATGGGGCTATCCTGTCCGCTTTAGTCACTTGTCTCTGACTTATATCGTAAGTTGTAAACGCGTTCAAACGACCACCTTGCTCCATTATATGTTTTATTGTACAAATCCCATCGTAGTTTCATATAAGAGACTGATTGTTAGAATCCAATCGGCCTGTACCGAGGCTAGCCTTCCTTGTTATGAATGGCTAAAAGGCTAGCTTAGCCATCTTTGTTGTACAAGCTTCAGTCAATTGAAATTCATATCACACATAGTTATATGTAATTTATTGTATTAAAATAAAACGTTTTCGGCTCACATAAAACGTGACTTGCACAATCTAACCCACTTTGTGTTGAAAGATGCTTTAAAGTTAGCTTTATTTGTTAGCAGCTAGCTACATCAGTGGACAGGTCCGCAGTGCTGTCATGCGCTTTCAACTGACCGCACAATGAACAGGCGAGTTGGGCTACAAACGAAGCATTGAATACAAAATAAATACAAGCGTGTGATACACCAGCTAACATGAAATGTATGTGTAGATTACAAACCTTTAATCAGGTTTTCTACCTGACACCAGATGCCAAAGAACAAGCCAAAACAAACGGGCTGCCAACAAACTACGGATGCCGGAAAGAGCCAAAAAGACGCACTTCGCTTTTACGTAGCTGTGCTGCTGGCATCCGAGGTCAAAGCAAAGAGGAATCATGTTTGTGAGCATAACATGCCCCCTAATGAATTAAGCAGCAGGGTCTTAAACACTTTAGAAACATATTTGATGCAACACCCGGAAAACAATATTTATATGTTTGTTGTTTTCATCAGCTCTGCTTAATTTAAATTTAAAATGAGTAATTCATGTTGAAAAGCTTTTACAGAACAGCAACACAAACCCCGAACAGTAATGGACAGTGTGGTAACTTATAGAAATATTTATTATAAAATGTAGAAAGTTTGTGAACATATTTCAAAAATCTAAATATCATAATACAACAGAATTAGGAACATTGTGCGTTGTTGGACAGTGTATTCCCAGATTATCTCAATCGTAAAAAGCTCACCATTATTTACATATGCTTATAACAAATATAATTAAACAACAAATACCAAAAAAAATGAAATACTTGCTTAAGTGTAAGATAAAAAATATGATATCTTAATTTTCACTTAAGTGTGAACACATAGGCTACATTCAACACTGGATAAAGTGCCCAGTCTTGAGTCAGTTATTTACTAATAAGTTAGGCTGATCATCTAATTTGCAACTCCTCTTCCTGACATCCCCACAGGTCTCCTCATTAGGTACATCAGATAGCTGAGACAAGGCTGGACCAACTTTGCTGCTGTCCTCAACTCCCCCGTCGGTATGCAGAGTATGCAAGATCTGTTCACTGGGGCGTTTCCAAGACTTTCGAGTGGCAATCCAGAGGATTAGTGCTCCAAAAACCACAAGGAGGAGTCCCAGGACGTTCACAAAGATTGCCTCTGGGGGAGAGTCCTTGTACTTTGGGTCGCTCCTTAGTAATAAAGTACAACAAATAAAGTTATTCTCACTTTAAGCAGCATTAGTACTGTGCAACTGGTTTAAAAGCTTGTATTCCTTTTCAAAATACTTACAGACTAAAAATGAGTTTCTCTGTGATGCCCATGAGTGCCACAGCTATTACACTGGTGAAAAGGAAAAGACCTCCGTAGATATGCAGGGGCATAAACGCTGCTCTCCAGGATGCAGGTGTAAATGGCATCAAGTACATGCCAACTCCAAGAACAAGCTGCTCATTGAAGGAGAAAAAACATCCTCTTATCAGATAACACACTAAAAAGGACTTTTGTTCACAATGACTTGGCATTTTAGAGAAGGTCAAGTGTTTTTTTCCCAGCGTGTTAGTAAAACTGCCCTAGTTTATGTGTTGTTTTGAACCAGCCCTTAGCTCTATAAAAGAAAGAGTTACAAAATATAACAGTGGTTTCAACAATAAAGCTCATTTAGGATATGCAAAAGGCCAAACTGTGTATTATTTATAGCAGCAATATAAATACTGCTAAATGAAACCAGGAGAATTTTGTTTGTAGACATTTTTCAATATTTTCTGACATTTTATGGACCAAACTAATAATCCTGATGAATCAATAAACATTAGTTGCAGCCATATTTACCTGCAGACCGTACAGTATCACAGCTGCGAGGCCCACCCAGCTGTGCAGGCTGTACATGTTGGGGATTTTGGCAGCATTGTGGAAGTCAAAAACTGCCACCATTGATATGACAGCTAGGATGAAGGCTAGTAAGTTCAAGCCAGCATGGATAAACTTCATCATCAGTTTACTGCGATGCCAGGTCCAGGGGATTCTGTAGACTATGATGGCTGCAAGAGGAAGTTACTCTGTCATTCTTGATTCAACAATGACACAACATTGGACACACTTGTTTCACTTTAAAAATTGGCATATCTTCCATTACAATGTTTAAGTAAAGTTTTCATGTACAGTCACGTATTAAAGTTTGTTTGGAAAGGGTTGTTGATAGTGAACACTTTAAGAAACTAGGGAAAGCATTAGGGCCAGACTTAGGAGAAACACCTAAGGGGTAAAGATCTTAATAGAAAGAAATAAAGTTGAAATGTTGGGGAACATTTTTTGGAATGTTAAGAATAAAGAAGAGATACCATTTTGGGAATTAAATCAAATTTTGAAGATTATGTCAAAATGTATAGAATAAAAATCTAACTTCTCTTCTTCAACTTTTCTATCCACAAACAAGTTATTCTCAATAATTATACTTTATTCTCCAAATAAATGTTTAAAAAAAGTCTAACTCCTCTCATTGTTCCTTCCTTATGAATAGCCCTTGTACTTTTCCATAGAAAGCACTATTGTCATTATATTAATGACTTTTAAGGTCATGTTTTTGTGAGGTGCAAAGTTCATGCTTCCATGAGGGTCATATTGCTTAAGATATAAGAATAAATTCATAATTGACTTCCTTAACATCACATACTCCATTTGTGGATGCTACAGTATAAACCTACAAATGAAGTTGAAATTAATTAATCTAACGCAATTTCAGTCATGTTTTTTTAAATATATAAACAGTCAGTGGTAACCTCCCCCTCAGGTCGTTGGATAAGCGAGTCTTGTGCAACTTAAAATCCTGTTTACACATCTTCAAGACAACCCCCACCATACTTGCCAACCTTGAGTCCCCGGACCTTAAAGTCCGAGTGGAAACAGTCCTGAGTAAATCTGATTTTGTCAGAAATCGGGAGAAATATGACCCCGGGAGGAAACCGGGAGAGGGCAATGAAATCGGGAGTCTCCCGCGAAAATCGGGAGGGTTGACAAGTATGACCCCCACATTCCGATTGACCAAAACACTTCTTAAAAAGACTCATTTCTCACCTGTTCCTTGCAAGAAAATAAACCCGATCACCATTAGGACAGGATGCCAGTTGAATTCGGCCGGACCTCCATCCCAGGCTAAACCCTCTCTAAAGTGAAGAACCCATCTTAGCACGAATATTATGGAGACCAACCCAGCGGCCGCGGCGACAGACAGAACCACCAGGAAATGTTTGAAGTTCTCCATCGCCATCAGAACTGCAGCACCGAGCAGCTGCTTCACAAATACATCAACTTCAAGTGGCTTCTGGTGAGGAGGGACCTCGGTCACATGACCCCGAGCTGAGGACGTGAATGGAGGAAACACGTTTTATAAATTTGGTGGTTTCAGAAGAGTTCCAGCAGTGTCTGGGACTAGTTGAAGAAAATCGCTGCATCATTCTCTGACCAAAACATTGATGATTCATCTCAGCGTAGGATGTTTTTTGAGTAATGTTTTTGACTCACACACTGCTGCGTTTGAGTAACACGTGTCTTTAACAATATCTTTGAGTTTCTATAATATTTTATTTCACTTCCTCTGACTTCTTTGGATTATGGGCTGCTGTCCAGAAATGATAGTGATAATGAAAGTCATAGCCGTAATTTCCCAATCGAGATAACCATTTTGTTGTTAGAATGGAGGTTTTTTTAAACGGGGAAAAAAAACTGAAGTTCAGTAAATTGGAAAGCTATGCTGATGTAAGGACTCTTGGTTGGTACCACACATCAATACAATCATAAAAACTAACTTGAGAAAATACATTTAATATGAAAAATAAAGTGATTCAAATAAGAATGAAAAACATTGCAAAATTACAAAAATGTTACGTTACAAATGAAAATCTAATTACAATTTGTTTATGTTTTATCTATTAGGCTACAACCAGTGGACTGTGACTGAGTGGGCTACATTTACTCAAGTACTATGAATGCATAAATACAAAACATAATCCACTAATACATTATTATTCACTTATTGTAATCCTCAAATATAGATAATTCTAATATGGGCAACATTAGTTATTTCAATGTTGATGTCAATACTTTATTACTTTTACTTGAGGACAGGGAGAGAGAGGATGACAAGTAGCAAAGGACCATCATTTACTTATTACCAAAACCCTTTTTTTTAAGATAAAGAGTGTAAATAATGTTGATGTGAGACGGACCAAGTTAATGTAACCCACACATAAGAAACATTGACACAGTGATCCAGATATGTTTAACAGAAAACCTGTACAAAAACAAGTTTTGAAATCAAATATTTATGTAACCTTACAAAGTAAATGGCACTTATTTTCTGGCAGCCTTGAGTTTGTAAACATGGCAGCAGAAGTTGGTGTTCTTTTGTTCAATATGAACAATTGTGTCCTTATCAAAAAACAACTCATGTCGGTACGTCTGAAAGAAAAGATAAGAGCACACATGAACACATGTACACAGACACTTTAAAATTGGTAGAATCACGTTGGGTCACTCACTTCGTCCCATGGTTCCTCCAGATCAACTGTCCGCAGTAACTGCCCACTCTGGTTGTCGTGCAGTCGGATGTGGGCTCTGCCTTCTCCCTCCTCACCATTAATTACCACCACTGCCAAAAGGTCAAGCTCATCCTCATATTCCACCATATGGAATGTCTGTAAAGTTAAAGTAACATTATTCTGAAGCCATGCAGAGTAAATATAAGGATGCCAAAGATAAAACATAAGCTCCGCCGTATCCTCCTTTTTAATGGCATTCTCTTTTAAAGGAGAGGTGTCATGGCCATTTCCACTGATCATAATTCCATTGTTGAGGTCTACTAAAATAGATTTATACTGTGCATTTTTCCAAACTCACATTGGTTTCTCATACAGCATCTCTGTAAACTACTTGTATTCACTGAATTTCACTCTCTGCCTTTAACGGCTCGTTGTAGCTCCAATAGCTCCAGCCCCCACCCTCCCTGTGAGCACAGTGTGCTCTGATTGGTCGGGACGTTGTGAATCGCACTGAGCTCCGTGGAGGTGTTGTTTCCTTGTTTAGGATACATAGCGAAACACAGCCAAACTCATCCTGAGCACACACAAAGTCACAGCCGAAGTAAAAACAATAAGTGTGGCTTGATATTGAGTAAGAAAAAGGTTGATAAACGCTGTGAGAATGGGTCTGCAGAGAGAATTTCGCCGCGATCCCAACTGTCTGTTATCAGCCTGCAGCCAGGGAGGAGAAATCAGCTGAGCTGCCTGCTCCCTGCACACAGATGTGTGTGTGAGGAAGTCCGTGGATTGGTCAATTTGGACCAATCAGCGGGGGCTTAACGTAACGGCTCCGCGGACGTAACGTAACGGCTCCACGGATTGGTCCATTTCGTTCCGGGTACGGGTTGACATCATGCCGTACCCGGAAGAATCAAATGGACAATGACGTATCTCCAACGAGGCGTTTTGGGGAGGTATTTTCTGTGTTAGAGTTTTACTCGCTATTGGGTGTACTTTGAGGGTTTTGACTCTGCACACCGTTTACATGCATAAAAACCTTCATAACACACAAAGGGACGGGTAATAACCGGAAAAGCATGACACCTCTCCTTTAAGATCAGATTCACAGCAGAACATCTTGCCTTTACTGACCCTTATACTTGCTACATCAATTAATAATGTAACATTGTGTAGGGAAAGGTTACAGGTGCAGCTAATAATGATGTTGTCAGAAAAAATAAAACAAGGAGAAAGTTCCTTTCAAACCTGTTAGCACACTAACATTTACTGTAAAAATAAAGATACTGTATCAATAGCTAAAGCATACATTTTTACCTCTAAATCTGGGTCATCATCCAGCTGATGAAATCTTTTCTTCACTGTGCGGCCCGATGACGTGACAGTCACTTGTGAGGGCTAAAGTAGGAATCATAAATATACCAATTAAATCGCACAAATATTGTCATTGTGCACACATGTGATACATATACATTCATGATACATTAAGTTAAACTATGTCTGTATGAAGCACAGCATATATTAGGCTTAGTAGGTAGATAATGACACTTACATTGTTGTTTCGAAGAGTTGCCATGGAGAAATCCTTAATTACCTTTGATGGTAAACCACTGTTCAGTTCACCTTTGATTTTAAGGACACTTGAGAAAAAAAAAACATATTGTATAACAAGTCCAGTATAATAACATAATAAAAGTAAAGAAAGTATCATACTATTTGTTTATGCAGCAAAGGACCACTTCATAAAAGTTGGACGTCTCAGGATGTGTTTGTTTGGATACATTTGCCTCCAAACCACAGACATTTTACCAGTTTTTCCTTGCAGGTTTCATTCATTGTGTCATGTACTGTAAAAGCTGACTCGAGTACTCACTTTATTGTGGCGGGTCCAACATGAAAGATTCTCCCCGAGTCATCAGGGTGGAAGAAGATGGCATCACTCACTAGAGAGCAGCAGTCCATGTTTTGTATACCATTTATTGCCTAATGTCATAACATTTAAAAATAATTACAATAAATGATTGACTAGGACATACAATATGAATTGCATAGAAATCAAATGTATAGCAAACAGCACTATAAGCACATAACTATAGCGAGGTTGCTCTTTTGTACATTTTTTTTAATAGAACTGTACAAGCACAAAAAATAGAGACGTTTTTATTTTTTGTGAAACATGCAGAAAAGATCTGCATCAAGTGGACCATTGCGGGGTTTTGAATAGTGATTACAGATTTGGATCTGCTCTGTCCAGCAGCTGAATACAAAGACTGTCACCAACATGTGTGGCCCTTCTTACCCTGACACTTTCAAAAGCTCAGGCCAATTTGGTGTTCCATCAGACAACAAGATTGAGGATATTTTTCTATCATTGCCAGGCATATGCCACACTTTGTATTTAGATGACCAAATCATATTTGTCATGTTATTGTGTATGATTAAAGAGGATTTCTTAAACTTACTAAAGTGCTTTCCTTGAGAGAACAGATGTGGTGAGTGCCTTCGTGACTTTTATGCGGTGGTGTGTAGATGTAGTGCCACGGGTAGCCTCCAATCTGGAAACTGTTATGAGCGCATGACACTTCAAAGAGCACTGGAGGACAATCTGCGCAATAAGACACACAAATTACCAAATTTACTTTATAATCTAAAAAATCTTGTTTGCAGTAAGTAAGAAAATAAATATTTAACACAAAGATACCAATCTGGATTCGAAAACAGTCTCACCTGTGATCTGAATATTTACTGGGATACCAAACGGAGTATCTCCCACAGTTTTGCCTCCAAGAAGTGAACTCTGCTTTCCAAGCATTAACTTCTCTGTCAAGTACTGAAAACAAAGAAAGTATTCAACAGATAGACAGAGCTGTATAAAGCAAGATGGGCCAGAACGATAGTAAAACACTGAATATGCAAACATTCACACATATTCAAATGTTCAACAACTGTGCTCTCATGCAATGTTTAAAAATCTGATTTAATCAAATATACAACTCGCTTAACAGTGTGCACAAAACTCTTTGACGATCAAAAAAGACATACCTTTTGTACAATGTGCTCAAAACTGTACAGCTTCACTGACTTGTTGCTGTAAGACACCACAAGGACACCTAGAGACAGATCAACATCGGTGACCCCATTGCCAAATATCTGAAAAAATAAGATTTACATATAACATATAACTTCTGCAGCACAATTGAAAATAAGAAAAAAATACTAACAAATCTGGATACCTTTTTGTTGATCTCCAACATGCCCACAATTTGTAGGGGGAAGACATGAAAGATGGCCATATGCATCACTGTATTCTGAGTGATACCTGCCTGCAAATAAATAAATAAAAAATAGATGAAACTTGGAAAAAATTGGGAACAATTTTTTAAACTAGCATTTCAAACTTAATGACGTATTCTGAGCTCTGATAAATTGTAATGGGCATGCTCCATGATTTTGTTTTTGTTTCAGCTCTTGACTAGTAATACCTTTCACTGACTGATTTTATATCTATGTTCTTGGATTGACTCAATAAGCCATGCCAATAACATGCCAAAAATCCAATCAATAAGCCATGCCAATAACATGCCAAAAATCCATTCACAGCAAGAACCTTAATTACTTTTAATAAAGTGTCCAATCACTCTTCAGTAAGGCACAGAACTTCAGAAAATAACTTACCTGTCGTGCTAAAGATGATTCTTTGTTTTGAACAGATTTAACATAAAATATCTCTTGAGTGACATCCCAGCCAAGATACCTGCCAGAACACAACCGAGTATAGTTAACTGTGAATACATATATTCATTTACAACCTAAGAACAGAAAACTCAAAGCCTTGAGGATACCTGAACTTGTGTTTCGAAGAGAGGTAAACTCTCTGCAGCTCTTCTCCCGTTTCAGCTGAAAGGCGACACAGCCAGTTATCGGCCGTCAGAGCCAAGAGGCTGGGTTTATGATCAGAGGGGGAGGCTAACGTACTTTCCTGTCAACAAAACAAAGAAAACAACAATCTGAATATGAGTTTTTAAAATATTGTCATGGAAAATGCAGCTTTTTTTGTTTAATTTCACTTACAAGCGAGCTCTGACACAACAGGGCATCTTCAAATTTCTCCAATTTAGATCTCTTGGGCAGTTTGTAAAGAAGTTGAGGCTCTGAATAAACACTGGAATCAGAAGATTTAATCACTCATTGTTAGTTAGAGTAAACATATGTTATTATATTGTCTGTGTCCTTTACATATACCTTGATGCCATCTACTTAAACATCATGACACAATACATGTATGTTACATGTTACTCTAACCACACAGCATTTTGGTATAGATGACATTAACAAACTGGGATGCATTATTAAAGAGATGCATTATGTTACAGTTTAATGCACATTTTAAAGATGTAAAACTGAAAAGGTAATATTCTGTATTTTACAGTATGTTTCCCCAAATACTACATTTAGCAAATCTTATTGTTACTCACCAGCTGTAGCAGTTCTGGAAATTTTGTAAGTAGATTTTACCATCCTGATACTTTATTGTGGATTTTGAGGTCTTGCTCCACGCTTTAATGAACTCCCTGCTGTCCTACAATGTAACAATAATAAGGAGATAGTACATTTATAAAGCATTCATAAAAACTGTGAATATCTATCAGGATTAGGTTTATTGCCAAGTATGTTTAATGAAATTGGTTTTGTGTACAATAGTGCAAACATAAACACATTAAGAGAAATTGAGATGTAAAGTAATAGCAACTATAGAAATACTATTAAAAAATGTTTTAAAACTTAGATAGAAAAGAAAGTTTACAAGGAAAATAAAAAACAAATAAAATAGAATATGACACATTACTGTGAAAACATGCAGAAATGTGCAAAACAGTCTTGAGTTACCTGGAGGATGATACCTCTCAGGACCCTCATGTTGTGCCTGCTCAGAGTGCCAGCTTCCCGGATACCTCTGCTCCTCCGGCTCAGCAGCTCAGCGGCGTTTACGGCTCCTTTTCTCCGGTACGGCGCCATCAGCAGGGGGCACTGGTTATGTTCTACTACAGGACTGTTTGTTGTAGCATGACAGAAGAAAACCATCCGAGCAGCTAACCTCCAAGAGCACAGGCAGAGTCAGGTAAGGGCGATATGGTTTCCCTAGTGATAACGTTAGTGCCCGTCACTGAGCTCCATCTCCCCGACAACACTGAACCTCTTCCACGGGTTTAGGGTTTAACGCGGAAAGTTACCAGCTAACGCAAACTAAGTTAGCACCGTTACAGCAGTGCACCACGACTTCTCGTTTACTTCGTTCTAAAGCCGTTCTTAGGGTCAGTTCGTTATATAACACATAGCGTTCATTATTTGTGTCGTTCAGGCGTGAAAATAATGGATATCAACAGTAAACCGTTGATACACGTTAGTTAACTGTTAACAGTCAATGCTAACTGCTCTGTCCCGCTCCATGTTTGTAGTTCTTCTTCTTCTTCTCCTTTTTGTTTCATGGCGGGCTGCAAACCAACGTCTGAAGGTGCATGCCGCCACCTACTGTACCAGAGAGTGTGTAACTTCAAGACAGGAAGACACATTTTTGAATTATTAAATTAAAGAAAAGGAACCAAAAACTGTGCTATATTGTAGAAATTAAACTTGTAACCTGTTAAATAAAACCCGTTTTTCGTATTCTTCTAAAAGCGTTTTCTACGTGAGGAATTGTGGCACACGACATGCCTCTTGAAGATAAGTGACCTCTTACTGGAAAAATAAATATAGTGTAGGCCTATGTTTTATATCATAGTATTATTTTTGCTGTATGGGTTCATTACAGCTCTCCATTAATTTGTGTTTACATTGACTAAAGTATCGAAACAAAAACTTTTGTGCCTTCATTCATTTGTCAACAAGAATTATTCATATTTAATAAAGGTTCAGACTGCTATTTACAGTGCTGGAGTGTAAATAAATACCAACAAATCCCCTCCCTGTAAAACGAAGTATTTCCAGATATGTTGAATTTGAATGTTTGTTATTTTTTAATAAGTGCTCCCATTGGTTGAGGAAATTATCCTTAATAACTTATTTGATCAGCTGAAATATGCAAAGATATTGTCAAAGAATTTTAAAATACATTAATCTTACTGCTTTTTTTACAGAAGAAAATGCATACACTTCGGAGCCTCTCTGTTGCCAAATTGGCTAAAATTTCCAGCAGATTGTTTTCAAGACAAAAGAGCTCAGGAGGAAGACCTTCATCCCCACTGGGTTCACGGATTCTGACAAGTCCTGATGACATCTTTAAGCACAACATGTGGTAAGTGATCAAATGTGATAAGACTTTAATTAGTCACCAATTTGTTGTTGTTATTATGGAGAAAGCAGGATTACAGAATAGGTGGAACCACTTTTAACCACACTGAGCTGAAATTTAGGGTAACATTTAAGTGATACATTTTGATACAGTTTGTGATTTACTATAGTTGAGCAGATGTATTAACAATTGATTTATAATGCTTTATGTTTTAGGGATCATGTGCAATGGACAGAAGAGGATAAAGAAAACGCACGGCAGAAGGCAAAAGAAAATTCCTGTACACAAATTCCTTTAGAGGAACAAGGCAAGAATGTATTCCCGCAAAAATATTTATCCAAGTTTTGATTGGGGTTACCCTTTTTTTGAAAATATCCTAAAATCTTTTCCACACAGGAACATTTGATACCGAGGCTTGCCAATACTGGGACAAGTTTTACACGATGCACCAGGATAAGTTCTTTAAAGATCGCAAGTGGCTGTTTTCAGAGTTCCCAGAACTGCTTCCTTCAGGGGATCATCCAGAGTTATACCCACAACCTGCTGGAGCCAGCACAGACACAGAGACCAGACACCGGCAACACAACGGGCCCAAAAACCATGACAGAAATACAGACGTCCCCAATCATCAAACAGACTCCTGTCAAGAAGCAGCACTAGAAAAAAAAACAGCTGCCATACAGTCTAACACATTCCCTGGCCAGCACGCATCACACAGGATCTTGGAGGTTTTCAAAACTCACATTTATTGATTTGAATATGATTGTTTAAATATGAATTGTTGCATTTGGACCATTACACAATTGTGATATGAAAACAGTAGCATGCTGTTAGTTGCAATACTAATACAGCACTTACTAAATATACTTTTTTTTTACAGGTTGGATGTGGGGTGGGCAACAGTGTGTTTCCCATCGTTAATTCCATAAAGTGAGTAAAGTTTGAGATATTTGCATATAATCTACATCAATTTGGTTACATTATCAGTGCAACATGTTTACAAAACAAAACATTTCAAATACCCAGAATAATGGCCACTAAAATAGCTAATAATAATTCTTTACTGCATAATCCTTATGTCAGATTCATGAAAGTAAGGGTGCATCTGTACTATATTTGTAATTAATGTGATTTTATGTTTCACAGAGGGACAGACATATTTTTATACTGTTGTGACTTCTCCAAATCTGCCATTCAGCTGGTCAAGGTAAGCTTTTCTAAAATGGCTTGGTATGAAAATGCACAGAACTGCTTTTAGGTTAATACACTTCTTCAAAGCAATACCTGCAATACAAACACTAAACTCTTGCTCCAGTCTGTATCTCAGCTATCATTTAGAAATGCAGTTTGTGTGACTATCAAACCGTTTGGGTTCTAGCCTGCTTTTTTTTTTCATATAGGACCATCCAAACTATGATGACTCTGTGTGTCATGCTTTTGTCCATGACATTTGTGAGGAGTCCACCTCCTTCCCCTTCCCTCCTCAGAGCCTGGATGTTATTCTCGCTGTCTTTGTCCTCTCCTCGATTCATCCAGAGAGGTAGGTGAAGGTTAAAAGACAGCAGAGTCTGACATAATTTCTCACCTGCCAGATCTTTTGTTCTAAATGTCATTATAAAATCTATATGTAACTGTATAATATCACTGAGTACAACCTTTACTCTATAGTGGTTTGCTTTAAATGTAAGGCATGGTGGCATACATATTTAATTGTTTTGTTTTTGTTGTTTTACCAAATGCATTGTCCATGTACAGTAAGACATGTCAGCTCAATACTTCAGTGCTGTTTGTTAATTTATATATATCTTGTGTTTTGTTCGTTAGCTGAAATCCTGTTGTACAAGATAATTTGTTATTCATTGAAATTCCATTGACAGATTGCATGGAATTGTGAACCATCTATCTACATACCTGAAACATGGAGGGATATTTCTCTTCCGTGATTATGGGAGATACGACTTCTCACAACTCAGGTTTAAGAAGGGTGAGTCTACAACTAGTAATGCACTCCTGAATAAACCAATTTAACTAACATTACACTTGTATGTTGTATATTCTATATTCCCCTCTGTGTGTGAAGTGTTTTTTGCCAATGTATTAAATTTGATCTTAAATCGTTTAATCTTTTAATCCTTTACAGGACGGTGCTTATCAGAGAATTTCTACACACGTGGAGATGGAACCTGTGTCTACTTTTTTACTAAAGGTATTTTTGGTATTTTCTTGTAAGTGCAAAATATATTTATTGATAGGGCCATTAAATTAAAGAAACATTAAGGTCTACTTGTTTGGGTACTTGGAGTTAACAGAGTATTTAAGGCTTAATATTTTTAGGGCAAAAATTAATTAAGCATTTTGATTTTTATACGATACGATAATACTTTATTGTCCGATCAAGTCGGAAATGTTTTAGTACAAAATAACAGTTATGTTATCTAACAGCTCTGGTTACTGACTTTTATTATTTACTGTATGCTTTACAGAAGAAGTTCATGAACTATTTTCCAATGCTGGATTGGAAGAAATTCAGAACCTGGAGGACAGACGACTTCAAGTGAACAGAGGAAAGAAAGTAGCAATGCACCGGGTTTGGATGCAGAGCAAGTACAGGAAATTATATCCACCTCCACCATCTTGACACCCAACCCAGCACAGCAATGTTTGGAGCTAAAGACCTTTTTTTATACTTTGCATCTCATTCATTCCACCCTTAGGAAACAGTTTTAACCAAATGAGTATATGTACTATAACGAAACAGTTTGCAATAAACATACAAAACAAAGAAGAAAGATGTGGTGTTATCTGGTATTATGTGCCGTAGATCATTGTATTAATGTCCATTGAAAGATTATGCATAAGCCTATAATGAATTTATTGAGTGAACTTAGGGTTAGGTCCACAAGGGGAAATACAGTTGACACTTTAAAATGGGAAACTGACTGACCTATATGAATCTGATACAATCAATGTTTTCTTATTTTCATCCCTAAATTGTGCTTAATGTGATAGTTGTGCATGATACAAATACTCATGACATGTCAAAATCCTGTTATAAATCAAACTTTTTACTTATTATATTACTTTAAAAAAATTCTGCATCACCTTGAAAATATGTGTCTGGCCCAACTCTTTACATTTCAAATAGTTACATTGTTTATACATATCTTTTAAATAACAATTGTATCATCCATGTTCTATTTCTATATGTATGTGTCTTGCCTATTTACTATTACACCAGATTCCTTCAATATGAAAACCTACTCAGCATAAAGTAAAGTAAAAATGATGAGATGCATCAAACTTCTGACATAACATAACTTATATTTTCCACTTGTTTTCCTGGCTGAAATGGGCAACCACGAAATGATGGTATGGTCCAAGAGCTATTTAAGATATTTAAAGAAAAATGACAGATATTTATTTAACATGTTAAACATCATCATTTCCAGGGTTTTTTCATCAGTCCACAACCCGTACACTAAATGTGGCTGACAATAGTTACTGTGTACAGTGAATAAAATGAAAAAGTAATCTGTGTTTGGACTTTATTCTTCATGTTGACATTGACGTTAAGGAAAAATGTATCACCCTCGCGATAAGAATTTTGCACACGATGCATGACGTTTCATAGGCAACCACTTGAAGACGGAGAGGTGGCCCCGGAGCCAGGACACACTGCTGAGGTGTGAAGAGGTTTGTGCCCTAAAAACATTATTTAATACACTTTTACTCACTGGCAGTCACCCTGCCCCTGTAAAAAGACCCGTGGTATGTCAGTCGGTTAATTTCGCAGCGTGTGTGGAAGATTAACTGCCAGTAGCAACACAGGAAAAGTAGCTTGATGAGTGTCCAAAGTAGTGGAAGTTTGGAGGGGACGCCATCTTTGGTCCCAGCTCTCCACGTCCCCAACACGGACTGTGTTTTCAGCAACATACCACGGCAGGGGTGAAGGCCCGGGAAGGTATTGTTAAGCGTATTGAGACGTTCATGTCTTTACTACTTGCTCGTTTGGGTCATTTTGTGCAGAAAGAAAGGGAATTGTGTTTAAACGACCGAGCAAATATTGGTGGCGAAAGCAGCTTGCTAGCTAACGTTACCCCAAAGCGTCAGCTCCAAAGTCAATTGAGCCTGTTTTTGGCTAGCTAGTAGCACCGAAGACACAGGACCGTCTTTCTGTGCCCAGGCCAGTGCAGTAACCTAAAGAAAAATGCGTGCATAATGGCGATAAACCTCTAGGAGAGCAGAAAGGTTATCCGCTGTAGTCGGTGCATCCTTTAAGCATGCTGAAAACAAACGCTAGACAAGTTGCATATAGATGTACAATCATTCAGGTAATTCTGGAAGAGAAATCAAGTATTTCATGGAGAGGGTTAACGTTTTATCACCGGATAAGTTAGGTATGCATTGCACTGTTAGCAATCCTTTGTGTGTAGCCTAGATTGTGATGCTTGCCTATCAATAGTGGTCTCAATATCTATGCATGTGCAACTGCTGTTAATCTCAACGGTTCTTAAATTGAATTTAAACATGACAGCATGCATCTAACATTATGTGTAATTATGGTCTTTTACGGAAACCCTTTTTATATAGATTCTACTGATGATGGGTAGCTTTGTTTGACCTTTTTTGTAATAAAAGTAACTTGGAGGAAAGAGCTCTAACGCTAGATGCCCCAACAATAATGAGGGGTGCATCCATGGGAAACAGGCTGTGCAGCATGCTAACACACGAAATTAAGACATTATGCTTATTTGGTCCTTTTGGTGACCTAATAATGTTGTTACTTCTTGCACTCTGTGTTTATTTACCGCATGTTGCAATGATGCAGGACTTTTACTTAGCTTTGGACATTAAGGGAGCTTCAATGTGTCCTTGTTTTATAATGCTTTGGTTTACATGTATCAAAGGATGGCTATCAAGAGCACTTTTAAATATGGGAAATTGGGAGACTATTGCTCATCTGTGTTGTTCCTTAAATTGCCAGTGAGGGAACCAATTCATCCCAGTTTTTGCCAGAGATTTTTTAGACTTTTCGTGTGTGTGTGTGTGTGCCATAAACAGGTGGTCACTGCTGAGCAGCACGGAGTTAAAATGACATTCAGAGCAAGGGTTGTAAGGGTTCAACCACGTGTTCCTGCAGGGGCTTGAATATAGATAATAGTTATGCACTGGGGCATTCACATTGAACAAAGGGGAGTCCAAGAGGGAAATGAAATATGTGCTATCTATTTGAATTGGATAGTTGACTGCTAAGTGAGGAAACTTGTCTGTGTATGTCTTTGTGATTATAGGGCTACAAAATAAGCTTTGTTGTAACTCATAGCAAAATAGTCTTGCTCTTTCCTCTAGTTATAAAGTCTTCAGCAAAATAGACTGCAAGATTGATGAGAATCCACAGACCCATCATGGGAAATATACCAACCATACAGTGTTCCTCTTGCCTAATTGTTACTAAGATGTATCCTATTAACATATGTATCCCCCTAACTTAACTTACACCCACACAACTTGGTCATTAGGTGTTGTCAACAGTATGCATGGCTAACTTGTGAAAATAGGATCACTGCTTCTGTAGTTAGAGGTATCATTTAATCTTAAATGTATCAAAACAATGATTGTTTGACTGGAAGTGATTTTGATGTAATAGCATGAGCCATTTTGGGACACCTGCTTTATCATCTTCTGATCTGAAAAGTAGTTGCAATTGCAATGTTGTGTTATTTAGTGCTGTGATAATCAATTTAAAGTCTGCGGTTTGCCGTAAATTGTGTGTAACTGGGCCTGCTGAACATTTCATAAATCACAACAAAAAAATATATAAATAATGTGCCAAAATAGACCAATAGAGCTTGTTTATGGAGAAACAGTTGGACCCCAGACTGGGGACCCCTGTCAAAACGTTAAATTGTCCCCCAGGCAAAGCAAGTTGACTATCCCTGATTTAGTGAGTGGGCTGAATTATTCCTGTTACAAAACATTTCTTAAGGAGCTTCATGTTTCCCATTGAAGTGTAGGTCTTGCTCAATAGCAGACAGGGTTTTTGTTTTGGAAGATATAAGGAATGGCTTTTTGTTTAGCTGTTCTTCCTAAGACTTGATTTGTATCATGCAATGTATTTTGAACACTGAAGCTATTGCCCTTAATTAAGTTCAGCTTTCGTGCTGTTCTAAGATTATGGACAAATGTTCAGAGGTCTGAAACTTGTACATTTGTGGTTTTATTTGTTTGCATTTTTTTATTTGACAAGGAAGTTGACTAATCACTTTCCACAACCACCTAGGGAGTACGTTTGTTTGGTCTGTGTTTCTTTAATTCACATGTTGTAACATGAGCTATTCAGACAACCATATTTTGATATAGGAGTTATCACTTCCCTTCATCTCAAATATTTGTTGTGTTGGTTCCATGAAGCATTTTTTAAATGAATGACAAACTGAGCTCATCTTATTGGTGTTATAATTAGGTCTTCTCAGTCAGTATTGTGTATTTTTCCTTTTGCATTTCTCATCCACCTTCTGGTATGTTACACGTTTTCAGAGGTGAACACTAGCTCCATTGCTGCTGCCAAAGTTGATTTGGTGCGTGGCTTTAAATGGATGTCGAGTGTTAGCATGTTTGTCTATTTCTGGTGCACATTGCTCTTTTGATTCATCTTTGTTTGACCACCAATATGCCCGTTCCCTGCTGCTTTGTTATTTTGTTAATATCAAGCAGACTTTCTCAATGTGTACTGTTCCCCTCCATTTAATTAGATTCCTTTTTATAGATTCAAAATGGTTGTCTCATTAAAGCACAGGTTTAGTGGGCAGACCCCTCTGAGTCAGCAGCAGCAACGCTGAAGCCCAGGAAGCTCACGTAACAATCCCACAGGAGTGCAGTATTCATCAGGGCCGAGCAGTCAAAAACACAGCTCGTGGATTCTCATCATAAAAGTGTTTGTGCTACAGAGGCACCTGATACTGGATATCTACTCTGCAGTTTGACGTATCATACATTATTTGGATGACCTTTTTATTGTTATTGTAGCGGGAGTTAACGTAATTAAGAGCTTGCTTATCTCCCCGGTGCTACAAATGGAAATCTGTCTTGGATATGACTAGGGAATGTTTCAACATCTTGACCTATATGCTGGTCTAGACTAAAATCTTATCACCTGTTTGTGGTTGTAACAAAATAAGTCCCCTTCTTAACAACTTTGTCATCTGCTCTTGAGTGGTTGCATTAAAAGCTTCAATTAATCTGATGCTTGAATAACTGAGACAATGTGAATTGTTGCTAATCCTCCCAGGCACCATGGATGAGCTGAACAGCCTGGATCCCCGGAGACAGGAGCTGCTGGAGGCCCGCTTTATGGGCGGGGTCAGCGGGAGCACAGGGGGCAGCACAGGTAGCACAAGTGGGGGAACCAAAGTGAGTCAATATTCAAATTTCGCACATAATAATTGATCTGAATACTGTTGTAATTGGCAAAGCTTTTGTCTCATCCTCCAATGTTTATTTTTATTTTTTTTCCCTCAGGGTTTGACCAATAATGACTCAAATCACAGTTTTGGAAGCATGGGATCCTCAAGCGACAAGGAGTCAGAGGTACATTGAACTAATGACATATTATAAAATCATTATTTTAAACAAGTTATTTCATTATGTAAGTCCTTCTTATGGGTGAGAGCAGAGGCAGAATTAATGAACAAAATGGCCTACTTACAATTTCCCATAAGATCAGAGCTAAAAGGTAGACCAGTATGTAAAGGATTGTTGTATGCATTCTAAAATACAAATAACTGTAGCACACTTTAAAATATTCAAAGAGTGCTTTAGGACTGTAACTAACGATTGTTTCTATTATGTACTACTCGGCCTGAATTTTAGATTAATGTTACATTTTCTGAGTCTATAAATGTCAGAAAATAGTCAATCCAGTTTCTTCAAAGTCCCATGTGATGTCTTAACATGTCTTATTTTGTTGTTCCAAAACCCAGAGAAAATCAGCTAAATATGCCATACAATGTTTTGAATGAGCTCCAAGGGTCGCACGAGATCTGCAGCAATAGTTCTTGCTTCTGCCTGTTCTGTTTATCTGCGCACATTTTGTCTTTTGTTTGTCTTCAAATCTTGTCTCTTTCCCCTTGTAGGGGTCAGATGTGAAAAGAGGCAGTTCTCCTGCATATTCGGTAGGTATATTAAGAAATCTTGAAATTAAACATTATTCCTATTTTGTGGTTTATACCATTGTGATTACCATTAAAAACAGGACACAACTAAGGTGGCATTGCAGTTTCATAAGTCAAAATAAAATGTGTTATTCAATTCCATCATGATTATAATCAGCAGCAATTTTATATCACAGAGAGTCATATTTCAATGTTAAAAATAGTTCTTATGCTGCCTTTTTGATTGTAAGCTTTATTAGGAATAAACATTTGGGTTTGTTTGGACCGTTCACACAGGTAGACACACTGTTGTATTACAGTTACAGCAGCGAGTATAAAGGTCCTAATCACATTTTGTATAATTGTTTTTAAAACAAACAT